CTTTTGTCAAGTCGATGCACACTCGGGGGGGTCCCCGCTTTTTGGTGACTGTGAATAGCCCTGCCATTGCATTCTTAAACTGAAGGGACAAGGGGGAGGGTATTTTCCTTAGAAACCTCAGTAAATGCTACCCTTTTATTATGATTTTGTCTATCAGTTTTTTGTGTTTTTTTTTAATAAAGTTTGTTTTTGTTTTTGTTTTTGTTTTTGACAGACACAGCAAGAGAGGGAACAGAAGCAGGAGAAGCGGGAGAGGGAGAAGCAGGCTTCCCGCCGAGCAGGGAGCCCGATGCGGGGCTCCATCCCAGGAGCTTAACGACTGAACCACCCAGGCGCCCCTATCAGTTTTTAATAGACTTTATTATTATTATTTTAAGTAGACTCCACAGAGAGCATGGAGCCCAACACCGGGCTTGAACTCACGACGCTGAGATCAAGACCTGAGCTGAGATCAAGCGATCAAGACGCTCAACTGACTGAGCCACCCAGGCGCCCCCAATAGACTTTATATTTTAGAGCACTTTTAGATTCATATAGAAATTGTGCAGAAAGTACAGAGTTTAATTTCCAGTCCCCTCCCCAACCTTCCCCTCCCCGGTTTTCCCGAGTATTAATCTCTTGCAAGAGGATGGTACATTGATTATAACTGAAGAACCAATATGGATACAGATGATTAATTAAAGTCCAGAGTTTACACCAGGGTTCCCTCTTGATGATGTATGTTCTAGGGGTTTTGACAAACATATAATAGCAGGGAGCCGGAAAAATCCTCCTTCCCAACCGTTCATCCCTCCCTCTCCACCCACCCCTGGCCCCCACTGATCCTTTTACTGTCCCCGGTAAATGTCACATAGTTGGAATCATACAGTCTTTCTAAACTGGCTTCTTTCACTTAGTGATACGCCTTTCAGGTGCCTCCCTGTCTTTTTATGGCTTGAGAGCTCATTTCTCTCTAGTGCTGAATAATCGTCTTTTTTTCCTGCAGACTTTTTCCCAGTAGGAAATGCCCCCCAACATCTTTGGGGTTTTAGGAGCCTTGCTCTTGGCAGGTCTCACGTAGGGGCCTCGCTGTTCCCGCTGAGGCTCTGGCAGCTCTGTCCCTCCCCTCACCCGCAGGCCTGGGGGCACCTTAAGCCTCTGTTGGGACTGAGGCTCTGGGTGGTTCTGTGGGGAAGGTGCCCAGTGAGGCCTTGTGGGAGGACGGAGGGAGGAGAGAGCAGGAGGGGGTGAGGCCTGGAGGAACGAGGTGCTGGGTGGACGCAGGGAGAGAAGGAAGCAGCTGTCTTGGGGCTGTCGGAGTGGCTTCGGGCATTTTGGTCAGGGCGATGTGGGTCACCGCTCAGCTGAAGGCCTAGGCACAGGCAGGAGGCAGACACCTTGTCCTTCCCATCCCTTCGTTCTGAAGATGGATGTGGAGCTGAGGGACCAGAAGGCCAGAGTCGCTGCTCTCCCCAGTGGATAACCGGGAGTTGTTTCAGTCACGGGGCAGTGAGTGGGGCGTGGGGGGCGGTTAAAGAGAGAAAATCTGGCTCCCCGGCCTGGAGGTGCAAGGCTTGGGGTAGCCAAAGGGCAAACAAGCGTGGTGAAGTGTAACCAAGCGAAGAAAGAGGTTAGCAGAGGCCCAGACATCCGCCGTATCCAGCAGTTACCTGAGAGCAGGCCCAGGACAGGGCCCCCCGTGCCCCCCCCACCTCCTACTGCCCCCAGGACTTTGTGACTTGAGGTCCTTCTTCTGTGGGAAGGTCCGGGGCAGGCCCGAGCCTCACCACTGTGTGCCGAGACTTCATCCCTTCCACCCTTGCTGGGCGGGGCTGTGGGGGATGGGCAGGGCAGGGGAGATGGGGCAAAGAAAGGAGTCGGCGCAAGCCCTGTGATTAGCTCTGGCCGACAGACAGAAGTGACCGGTGTCACTTCCCAGGCTGTGTCTTGTTGCGAAGGCAGCTTCCTCTTGTACTCCTGGAATGTTCTCTCTTCAAGCCAACCCCGCGCGCAGCCCAGGGAGACTCTGTGGAGGGAGATCCGGGTAGGCAGTGTGACCCTCAGCAGGCACCCCTGCCAGCCCTCGGGGACCGTCCAGCCCAGGCCGGCCTGCGGGCGCTCGCTCACACGGCAATGCCAGAACTTTGCCAGCAGAGACCCCAGCTGATCCCACCAGCCCAGACCCAGCATACAAGTGGTGGCTGGTCAAAGACACTAACTTTGGGGGTGGGGGGCGTTTACTATGCAGGATGTGTAGGGGGTACCGTGTCTTTTTATCTGTACGGCATCCCATCTCTTGGGGGAACCCACTGCCCCACTCCAGATGGCCACAGCACCCCGCTCCCCGCGTGTTCCTCTTCTGTTCCCAGCAGTGGCTGATCCCTGCTCCGTCTTCCAAGAATTGGCCTCTGGGATGGGAAGGTGTTTGCAGCTGAGTAATCTCAGGAGCTTGCCTGAAAAGCCCCGAGTCCAAAGTTGCCCGGATTGTCTTGTTTTCCAGGCTGGTTGCTCAACGTTCTTCTACCAGTGATCACCTGCTGATAATTATTCCTCCCGCCCCAACTCCCTCCCCTCCTCCCTCCCTCCCTCCCTCCCTCTCCCCCCTTCCTTGCTCGGATGGTATCAATCTCAAGGTAATTTCTACTGTTCCCACCAAAGAACTGTCATTGGCACCGAAATTGGCACAAGGGAGGACGTTGTAAGTCACGGGGCCCCAAGGGGAAGGGCACCCCAAGAAGTGAGAGGCTCCCCAGGTCATGGGGATTCATGGTCCTGTTCCCGGGAGCTGAACCGTGACCAGGGACAGGAGGTGGGGCAGGATGCTCACAATAGCGCTGGGCAGCTTGGAGAGGGGGACCGACACCCCCGAGTTCTCGCCTCCCTGCAGGAGGGTGCCAGGGCCTCCACGTTGGCTGCCTTGGCTGGAGTCCCAGAACACCAGCCTCGGAGGCTGGACCTGCAGGCAGCTGAACCACAGCCCAGAGCGCAGGCCCGGCTGGAAAGCACCGTCATCTGGGAGCATCGAAGACTTGAGATCCTGAAACTCCCCACCTGGAGGAGGCAGTTCCCACAGGGCGCCTGTGCCTGAGGGAGCACCCACATGGCCACTGGGCCCTAATCCCTGTTCCTAACCCCCCAGGCCCAGACCTGGACCCACCCAGAGGGAAATGTAGGCATTCTTAGTTTTTGTAAGAATCCTGGGGAACATTTGTCGGAATGGTTTTGAGGACGCTCAAGCAAGGACCCGCCCTCGGGAGGTTGAACTGACCTTGCCCTACGGCACCCCCTTGGCCAGACGGAGAAACCCTCACTGGAAACTGCACCCAGTGTTGCCATTTGCACCAAATATCTTCCATCCTGGTGGGGACGGCTTTGCCTTCATTAAAGCTGACCTTGGATTTAGATTTGCTCGCCTGCCCCGAACCCACGGGCTTACCAGAACCCCCTCCCCCAAACCCCCCCATCCACTGGGGACTCCCACAACATGTGACTTCTGACCACGGAAGTCACTTTCCTGCCGCAGGAGTGGGGCAGGGGGCCTAGGCTGGCGGGACACCCCTCTGGCCGCGTGGCCCCACGTCTAGGGACAGTGGGTGTCATCTAAAAGAGATTTCCCCCACCCCCAACCCCCACCCCTGAGGCCCAGGTGCCCCGGAGTGAAGGAAAAGGTTTTGGCCAGCTCAAGAGAGGAAGCCAAACCAGCCCAGAACCAGAACAGGCCGAAGGTGAGAAGAACCGGAAAACGCATCAAAGGAAGCACATCATAGCCCCAAGCCACATAGCCCAAGGCAACGGGCTTATCACTAGAGCCGTTTGGCTTTGATCCGTAGGCCTGCCTTGTTTTGGTCACACGCTAATCATTGCAATGGTAATAAAATGTCTTCTTGGTCCTCTTTGTCAGTGGCAGTTAATTTGGCTGTGTCATGTGCAGGTTGTAGAAATTTGCACTAGGAGCTCGGCAGAATCGGGGAAGGAAGAGTGGTCGCCCAGGTCACTGGGGTGCACAGGGCGGCGGAGCATTTGGGGAGCAGCGTGCGTGCAGGGCTGTGTCCCGGGGTCCTACTGGCTGCTTCCTCCCTGCAGGGGAGCGTATGGGAACCAGCTGGGCGGATGGACCATCCCATGGCCGCTGTCCCGCCTGCCCCTCTTGCCGGCGCCTCTCACTCAGGCTTCCTTTTCCTGGCTGAGCCCACATCCCAAAGCCTGATTGGGGACTGGACCAGGTAAGGTGGCAGTTATGAGCCTCCCGTGGTCTGCCCTGCCTGTCCTTGGTGGGTCACAGGCCAGCCCTGCATGCATGGGAGAGAAGAGAGGGTAGACTGGGCGGGCCAGAGAGCAACCTGGGGGGATGCCCAGGGACAGCTTCCCTGGGCAAAATGGAGGGGGAGAGCGGTGAGCTGTTCACCCAAGTGGGGTCACCCTGGCTCTCAGGGATGCTGCTGAAAGGGATGGTGGGCAGAGAGGGCGCTAGAGGTCTCCCCCAGGTATCCTGGCTCCTGGCTCCAGGCCATTGCCCCCTCCCACCGGACCGCTCCCAGGGCAGGGCTCTGGAGGCTGCCCTCCTCTCTAAGTCTTCATTGCTTCTTCTCTGGAGTCGGAGTCATCATGGGTACCAACATGCCAGGGTGTAAGATGCCCAGCGCCTCAGCCCACCCCAGCCAGGCCGTCCTGCCCTCACCCCCAGAACCAGCACACCCCCACACTGCCCCAAACCTTCTCCTCTCGGGGCTTTGCAGTTGACCACCCTGGGGACAGCAGACCCGAGGCACCCACAGGCATCAGCCTGGGTGACTCCCGGGTGCCCAGGGCTCCAACCTGTCCTGCCCTGGTTGACAGAGCCAGGGGGCTGGGCAACAGGGCCACGGTGCTGGGAGGGAGGGCACATCCCATAGGTTGCTGCAGCGGCCCCTCCTCCTGCCCCTTACTCATTAGCCAGCCGGCAAGGTGACATGGACTTGGCTGGGCAAGGCTGGCTGAAGGAGTGCCCAGGCATGCAGGGCGGAGAGCAGCCTGGTCTCGGAATGGACAGCATTCAGGACACGGTCCCCCAAGACCGAGGGGGCTGTTGCCCTGCCCTCCGCAGGCTGGTCCCCGTTGGCTTTGGGGCTGAGGTGTGGACGCTCTTCGCTCTTTCTGGACCCCTGGTAAGGAGGTGAAGTTGCGCGGAGGGGGGATGGGCAGTAAGGCTGGGTGTGACGGGGGCTGTGCCAGGAGCAGCTCACCCCCCTCCCCAGAAACTTCCCACGCCGACGGTGTCCAGGCACTACCAGGGGCCACCACCCAGAGCAGGTGACAGACAGCGGGACAGCTGTCCCTGGACAGTGCCTGGGGTGGCAGTGGGGCCTGACCTCGCTCAGCAGCCAGCAGCCCCCACTCGGAAGGGGCAGGTGTGTCCTCCTTCAGAAACAAACAGGAAGGCTGGATTAAATCCCTGGGATGACCAGTGAGACCCATTAATGCAGGAGTCTGTGGGCTCCCCCTGCAGACAGTTTGCAGGGAGAAGACGGGGCCATCTGCCCGTTTTATTTCCAATGGGAAATTTGCTTTAGATCCTTTTTTTTTTTTTTTTCTCTCACCATAAAGACTAATCAATATATGCTCCCTACGAAATTTCCGGACGAAATGAAAAGTTACGATGAAATTTATCTCTAATCCCACCACCAGGACCTAGCCATTACTCTTTTGTATGAGGTCTGACCACATGATTATTAATAACACCGTTGGAGTATGAGATGTTTGAGTTGAGCTCTCTGTGCTCCAGGCTGCTGGGTGCTAGCTGCTTCTCGTGCATTCCTGCACTTTCAGGCAGGGAACCAGGAGCCCAGAGGTGGAGCCCAGAGGCTCACGACCACTGCTGACAGCGGAAAGGGAACAAGACTCAGGTGTCCTGACCTCCCGCTCCGGCTGCCACGTCCGCCTCAGCCACAGTGCTCGCTTTCTTTCCCCGGTTGCAGGCAATGGGTCCGGGGACTGTGTTTTTTGGTGGGTCTCTGGTTTGAGGCCCCCCCCAGGAGCTGGAAAAGCCTCAGTGTGGGGCTGGGCGGTGCAGGGCCCTTGACCTTGGTTGCTGTCCCCCAGTTTTTGTTCCAGGTGCTGACCTTCATGATCCATGTCGTGAGTTCGGTGTTTTGCGGGCACCTGGGCAAGCTGGAGTTGGCGTCAGTGACCCTCTCAGTGGCCGTGAGTATAGATGGGTCGGTGTGGGGATGCTCTCCCCCCGCTCCCCACTGAGCCACAGCATGAGGGCTGACATTCCCAGCTGGGCCTGGGAGGGGGGCCTTGCCCAGTGGCCCACAGTGGGTGCAGGCAGGGCCTGGGGCAGGAAGGGGGTCTCTGGCTCAGCCGCACATCAGGGCTGCCGTTGGGTGGCCTCCCCCAGACGCAGGGTGCCCCCCAGGTTCCCCTCCTTCATTCCCCGCCCCTGACAAGCCCTGTGTTCTCTCCTGTGCGTGACTCCAGTTTGTCAATGTCTGTGGAGTTTCCATAGGATTGGGCTTGTCCTCGGCATGTGACACCTTGATGTCCCAGGTAGGTGGGCCTCCTGGAGCCGGGCAGGAGGGCACCCACTGAAGGCCATTCAGTGACCCCTGGATCTGGGAGCCCATCAAACAGGCCCCAGGGACAGCTGCCCCCCGGCCCGCCTGCAAGGCCTTGCATGCTGTCAGGGACTTAGATCCATCGTTTTGAAAGAGGCTGCGCAGACGGGCAAGAGAGCCATGGAGGGAACGGGGTGGAGGCCGGTCCCTGACCTCATGTGTCAAATGCTGAGGGTGCACCTGTGCGGACCCTCCCGCCCTCGGGGGCCCACAGCCCAGGGGGGCTCAGCTTTCCTGGGGCAGGGATCTGGACTCACGGTGGACCTGGGGACCTGGGCTTGGTCCTGGCTGCCACGTAGCTGTATGGGGACTTGACAAATGTTCTCGGAGCTTCCCTTGCTCTAGCTGTGATTGGGAGAATGAAGCTCTCCTTGTTAGGGGCTTTTGAAGAACTGGGCACAAGGGGTAGATAGAGGTTGGCCTTGGCCGCAGGGCAGGCCTGGAGCTAGTGCTCACTAAATAACGGCTATTGTGATTCTATGAGCAGGTTGAGCCCCCTGCAGAGGAAGCTGAGCCCAGAAGGACCCCCTCCAGGCTGTAATCAGGGGGTGCCAAAAGCCCGCTCCCGGGGCGCAGAAGGCTGCGGGTGGTGGTGTCCTGGGCCCATCCCCACAGCCCTAGCTCCACTAGGAGCTTGACGCCCTGGCTAGGCTCACCCGGGGACAGAGGGAAGGTACTGAAGGGGTGGGCAGCCTGACCCAGGACTGAGCTGTTTTGCAGAGCTTCGGCAGCCCCAACAAGAAGCACGTGGGGGTCATCCTGCAGAGGGGGACCCTGGTGCTGCTTCTGTGCTGCTTCCCCTGCTGGGCGCTCTTCCTCAACACCCAGCAGATCCTGCTGCTCTTCCGGCAGGACCCAGCCGTGTCCAGGTACTGGCTTCTGCTGGGACGCCGGGGAGGGACCCCGTCAAGGAGACCCCTAGCCCCGCCCCGCCCCGCCCCGCCCCGCCCCTGTGCTTCTCTGGGTCGCCAGCGGTCACAGGTGCAGCTCCTAGGGGCAAGGTTCCAGGATTCCGTGTTCGGGTCTCTCCCTTCTGGGGCGTGCTGCTCCAACTGCGACCAGCAGGGGGCAGACACGCGGCCAGTTTTTAACTCGGAAGGAGAGGAGACCTGATGACGGCATTTGCATGTGTGCCCCCGCCTGGGAATACCTCCTTCATTTTGTAGGATCTGCGCGTCATTTGCTTCTTTCTTGATATCAGCTTCTCCCCGCTCCCCCTTACACACCGCATGTTACCGCGAGTTTACGTTCCCTAGCCATGACGGCCTCATGGTTAGGTCCTTGCCAACCCCCCCACCCCCACCCGGCACCTTCCAAGTGCATAGTAGTGGCACCCCGTGACTACTTGTCTTCAGGGCTTGGCAAGGCCTCTCTTCAAACCTGGGGTGCCCAGAGTTTCCTCGGGCAGCCTCCCAGCCCCCGCCCCCCCGCTCCTGGAGGGCACAGCCTGGGCCGCTCTGGAGCTTCTGGCTCTCTTGCAGGCTAACCCAGGAGTACGTGCTGATCTTCATCCCAGCACTTCCGGTAAGTGCCTCTGTCTCCCGAGCCTGGAGGAGGGTGGACCTACACTCCCTTTGATTCCGGCCGTTTGCTTTTCCATGCTTTTCCATGCTCTCTGCTGGGGAGGCCCATGAGCCTGCAGCCACTTCCGGCCGAACCACCGAGGCTGGCTGGAGGCGAGAGGAGAAATCCGGCCTCGTTCCAGTGCACGCAGAAGCACCTTTTAGGAAGTAACATGTTTTCTGATTAGAAAACCATTTATTGGAGAAAGCGTGGGAAGCGTGGGAAAGAAACATTCTAAATCACCTCTAATCCTGCCCCCCCATGACCCGGAGAACATAGGGTAATTCCTCTTTCCAGGGTTATTTCTGTTCGTGGGCGCGTGTGTTCAAACACGCATGCGCACGTGTAGTTGGAAAAAGGGTCAACGTATCTTGCATTATAACCTGCTTTTCCCCTTTCCAATATGTTGTTTGTCCCTGGATGTGATTATAAATAGCTTTCCACAATATCCACTTCAAAGGCTATGGAACATCCTATGGTGCCACAATGTACTAACCAATCCCTATTTGGTAGGTATTTCGGTTGTTTCCAATATCCCACTATCAGAAAGAAGATTGTGATAAACACCCTTATAGAAAGATCTTTGTGAACATCTGTAACGATTTCCTTCAGGTGCATTCCTGGAATTGGCGTTGCTTTGGCAATGGCTTTTGATACCAGTTTGTACCAATTCTCCCCCACTAGCAACACTCTCGTTTAGCGCAGAGTATTGTTACTAATTTTTTTTTCCCGATTCGAAATAGTTTTCACAGGCATTTTATTGCTAATGAACATTTTTCTTCATGTATTTATTGATCATTTTGTTCTTTTGTGAACTGTCCATACCCTTCGCTTTAGTGGGTTAATCTTTTTTTTTTTTTTTAAGATTTATTTGTTTCTTTTAGAGAGAGAGCGAGGGAGGGAGGAGCAGAGGGAGAGAGAGAATCTCAAGCAGAGTCCCCGCTGAGCGCAGAGCCTGACTCAGGGCTTAATCTCCTGACCCCAGAGATCGTGACCTGAGCTGAAACAAGAGTCCGACGCTTAACGGCCCGAGCCATCCAGGCACCTCTGGGTTAATCTTTTTCTAGTTATTATAACCCTTGTTAACTAATAACTCTTTATCATATATGGCACATACCTTTTCATTTTTTAAGCTTGTCACTCGCCTTATAATTTTTTTGATATTTTTGACCTAAAGAATTTTTAATGTATACATAACAGACCCATAAACCCTCTTCTTTATGGGGTCTTTGATGAGCTTAAAAACACTTGCCCCATTGCAAGATTATATAAACATTTGCCTCTGTTGTCTTTGAGCCCTCCTGTGGTTTTTATTTTTACCTTTAAGACTCTAATCCCACCTAGGGGCGCCTGGGTGGCTCAGTCATTAAGCATCTGCCTTCGGCTCAGGTCATGATCCCAGGGTCCTGGGATCGAGCCCCACAGCAGACTCCCTGCTCAACAGGAAGCCTGCTTCTCCCTCTCCCACTCCCTCTCTCGCTGTGTTCCCTCTCTCACGGTGTCTCTCTCTGTCAAATAAATAAAAATCTTAAAAAAAAAAGAAAGACTCTAATCCATCTAACAAACTTTAACTAGGACTCATGATTGCATATTCTCTCCTTTCTCCATTAATTTATTAAATACCAGCTAGGCAGTGCATCTAGTCAAGTCAGTTTCTGAGATTTCCGGCTGGACCCGGTAGTCTGTATGTCTGCTCAGGAATTCACTGCTATCCTCCTTAATTTGTTGAGGTTTAGTGAGATGCGTGATTAGCTGGCAGTATTGTGTTGGGGATGGCGTCTTTGGAATGACACAGCACCCCTTTGGTGTCTTGCCAAACAGGGCCACTGGGGCTGGGTCAGGGGGAGACATCCAATAATGTTAATCACTGTGGCAACTCCTTTATCGAATAAAGCAAGTCCCTCCCATAAAATGCCGCTGTGTAATTTACCAGTAAAGTAACAACAGAAGTGCCAAACATCATTTACATAATGCTTACCTAACACTTGGGATGCTTAAACGTGCCATTTCCTGTTTTGTAAACATTTGGCAATATTAACTTTACGTATGTATGTAGAGGTGAATATGCATGCAGTATGCGCACAGATGATTGTCCCCATTGTAGATGAAGAAACTGAGGCCCAGAGAGGTTAAGCAACTTGCCTAAGATCACACAGCCGATAAGAGAGTGGGGCCAGCACTTGAACCCAGGCAATCTAGCTCCAGCTCCATGCTCTTAAGCACTGTGCTTTACTCAACAGAAGCAGAGGGCTAAGGGAAGGGATGGGGTAGGAAGGCGCAGGCCAAGGGCCATGCTTTGACAGAGGACAGAAAGGGGGGCAGGGACACACACACTGACGCGCATGCTCTCTCTGTCCTCCACCTGCCACCCTGTGGGGACTTGAGCCTACTCAGCAGGAACCACTGATGGCCACACGGCTAAGCCCCCTTCCCCCCACCCCCGCCACCCTAGCCCGAGGCCACTCCCCCCAGATTATGGTTTTCAGCAGCCAGAGCCAGACTCAAGGGTTGTCACAGCCCGTGGACTGGGGCTCTGCTGGGTGCTTCTGTACGCAGGCCCCTGGGTGGCCTCCCTGAGCTGATGGAAGGTCCGGGTCGGCAGCCAGAAGCTCTCTGCTCTCAACTTTCTGCCCTGCCTGTCTGTCCTCCCGTGCAGCCGAGCAGGAGCCCGGATGGGGGCCTCTATCCTCCTAGGCAGGGCCAGAGCACCCGAGATGGCTCAGCGGGCTTCAGCCCACCGGGGGAGTGGGGGGCGCGGGGGTTCCAGACATACTTTGGTGAAGTAATTGCTCCATACTCAGGTATCAGAGAAATATCTGTTGATGTTCATCTCGTGCTTTTGGGTAGTCATTGTTTATTTGTGTGTCTGGTTTTTTTGTTTTTATTTTACACAGGCATTTTTCCTTTATGTCCTGCTGGCGAAATATTTGCAAAATCAGGTACAGGTCTCTGGCTAGCAGGGTGACCCCCGGGCCCAGCACACTGCCCTATTCCGTGGGAAGGGGTGCCTGAGGCTTTTCTCCTTTCTGCATGATCTGTGAGCCTGACTAGGGCCCAGCAAGGAGCTGCATGTCCCCAGCCTCCTTCCAACCCCTGGACCTGCCGGGGCTGGGCCACACCCCTCACTCCTGCCCCCCACCCCCTTCATTTATTTCAGGGAATCGTCTGGCCCCAAGTGTTCAGTGGCATCGTGGGCAACTGCATCAATGGCTTGGCCAACTACATCCTGGTTTCCATGCTGAGCCTGGGGGTCAGGTGAGCACTGGGGACCCCATCAGGCAGCACTGCCCACCAGGCACCCCACTCCCAACTAGGGCGGGTTGGTCACCATCCTCGCCTCACAAGAACTGCGGGGGCTGCCCCTGCCGTCCAGAAGCGGGTGTCGCGAGGAATTGGGGGGTCCCGCTGGTCCCTTGGGTCCTGGGGGGGCTCCCCACCAAGGAGACGGGGAGAGGAGCCCTCCTCATCCGTGCCCCAGCCTGCCAGGAAAGGCCGAGAGTGGGGACCTGGCAGGGTGACTCTAGGGACTCTGTCGTCATGGTGCCTGTGGCACTAGAGGGTCCCGTGGCCAATCCCGGGATGGGGGCGCTGGCTGGGCCATGCCTGGGCCCGCTTCCCCTCCATGCTGGCTTCAGCAGGGGAGCCCCTTACGCCGAGGGCCAGAGTCGGCCCCCGGCCCCAGCCCCGCTCTCTCTCCTTTCCCAGGGGCTCTGCTTACGCCAGCACTATGTCTTACTTCGTGCAGACCATCTTCCTCTTTCTCTACATTGTGCTGAAGAAGCTGCACCTGGAGACATGGGCAGGTGCAGAGGGCCGCCCTGCCTTCGGGGGGCTGAACAGACAAGCATCAGGCAGGACCCCGGCACGGGCCCAGGGTGTGCATTTGGCAGGTGGACAGAAGACCCGGTTGGAGTCCCGTTGGAGGGGCTCTGTCTCCAGGCTTGCCTCTACTTCCCTTCGGGGCCTCCTTCCCCTTTGCTCCACCCCTCAGGACCCCGCCCCCAAAGGCCCCAGATCGCCCCCCATCAAATGTGACGTGGTGCAGAGCCCCGCTTTCTGGCCCGCTCCCTGATCTCAGGGTGGTGACACGGGGGAAATCCTAGGTGTCAGCCGTGGACCCAGCACCAACGTTTCTGACCCCAGTTAAACTCCATGATGCCTTATTATCCCCATTTTATTTACACAGAGGAAATCGGTACATGGTGGGGCTGGACTCGAACCTGTGCCCGTCTGAGCTTTTCTGCCTCCTGAAACCTAACTCTGTAGACCGTGGGGTCCCCTTGCAGGCATTTCAGGACCAGCTCTCTGGCCAGGGCCTCAGTCACCGGGCAGGGAGTCCGGCGTGGGCCCCCCCACCCCCCCGCTCTCCATGCCTGAGCAGCCCTATCTGCCCTGCGAATCCTTTTGTCACCCTTGACCTCATACCATCCTCCCAAGAATCCTTCCGGAGAGGCAGGGCAAAGATAACTCCGATTTTCAGATGAGGAAGTGGAGCCCAGAAAGGGCAGGGTAGTTGCCCGAGATCCCGGCGTGGTGACGCAAGCAGAGTGTGGGGACTTTCACCTGCCATGTGGTGCTGGCCCTTGCCCTGTACCCTCCTCCCGCACCACACCAACCCTGGACCAGCTGGCACGCCCTGTGCAGAATGCAAAGTGCCTGCACGTGCTGAGCCGAGCCCCGGGCGGGGGGAGGGGGGTGGGGGCGCAGAGCCAGAGGCTGGCAGGGGCTTCTGGCAGTGGACGGGCATGCGCAGTGGGCTCCCTGCTCGGCTCTTCAGCGCGGCTTCTGTTCCTAGGCTGGTCCAGCCAGTGCCTGCAGGACTGGGGCCCCTTCTTCTCTCTGGCCGTCCCCAGCATGCTCATGATATGCATTGAGTGGTGGGCCTACGAGATCGGGAGCTTCCTCATGGGTATGTGGATGAGCACGGCTCGGGGAACCGTGTGGGCAGCTCTGAAACCCCTCCCACGCACCCGTCCCGGGACGCAGCAGCCTGGGCCAGGCTGGGCCTGTGGCTCTCTCATCTCCCCCACGAGGTCCTGAGCTCCTGAAAGGCAGGCCTGGGCCTTTCATGTCCAGACCCCAGCACCGCCCAGCAAAAGGCCTAGAACCGAGCAGGTGCCCCGGGCAGGTGGTTGAGTCAGTGAGGGGGTGAGGGACTGAACCAGCAGGGGTGTGAGCATGTGTGGGTTTGTCAGGCATGTGACACAGGTGTGCTCACTGGAGCACCCAGGGCAAAGTCCACACAGCCTGAGAATCAGGCCAGTGCGAGAATGGTCCTGGGAGACCTTCTGGTCCAACCCTTGCCCCCCACTTACAGATAGGTAAACTGAGCCCCAAGAACAGGAGACTGTCCAGAGTCGCACAGAGTTGCACAGTGGTAGGGCTGTGACCCAAACTCGGCTTTCCTGATCTTGGTCCAGGTCTCTTTTCTCTCGCTCACCATGCCGAGGTATACCAAGGACTTGAAAGTCAAACCATACAGGGAAAGGCCTCCAGAAAATTCCACTGGGATTTTCCTGGAAGGCTGAAGGCCAAGTAGGAACATCTTCCATTGCAAATCTGCCCTTGGAAATCATTTGCCCCTTGGCCTCCAAAGCAGAGGGGCCTCCTGTCCCAGGTCTGTTAGCCAGCCCCAGGGCTGGGTGCTGACCGTGTGCACCCCAAACCCCCCCACTTGCCCCCGCAGGCCTGATCAGCGTGCTGGACCTCTCTGGCCAGGCCATCCTCTACGAGTTGGCCACGGTAGTCTACATGGTGAGTGTCTTCTGGGGGCTCCTTCGCCAAACCCTCCATGCTGGCCCAGCCCCCCCTGACGGTCTGGGGTGTCACAGAAGAGGGGCAGGCGGTCACCCTAAGGGCCATCTCTATCTCCCGAGAGACCCTCCTGGACCCTCTGTGCCCGTTCAGGTCCGGGCCCTGCTGGACACACAGGTGACTCACAGCTGCTCCATGGAGGGTAATACTGAATGCACGTGGTGTTAGAATTTTTTTAATGAGCACCATTTAAAAATGGGGAGATTTCACATCGTAATTTGAATTTTTGCCTTTTCTTGAAAAATGGGACATTCCATTTGGCGGTGGGCCCATGTTCCTGCAGGCCCCAGTCAGCAAGAGCTGGGTGACGGTATCCCCTGGTGGGGGGGGGACATCGCTGTCCCCCACCACGGTCCCCGTAGCTCCCTCCTCTTCCCACAGAGACATGAATTGTCCCATGTCACTCAAGTGTGTATCTATCTGCCAGCCTCCTGGGGACATGCAGTATGCGACCCTGGGCTTAAGGAAATGACTCACAAAAGTCTACACTTAGAGCACTAACGTCTAAGGTGCTTTATTTTACAAATGGTTTCCACAAAACTTTGTTTTTCTGGCATACTTAAGACCACAGCTACCTCTTAAAAATGTATTTACTCACGAGGTTTTGGCAACACATTGATTTAGGTTGCAGGGCCAGTGGCCTTGTGATGTCTTCTGGAGCGGGGGTGGGGGGCAGCATTGCCTGGCTCAGGGCATCCCCAACCCATCTCCCAACCACAGCCGAGGATGCCCTCTGCCCTCCTGCTGCCTCCTAGGGATCCATCCTGTCTCCCTGCTCTTCTCCCTCTTGGCCCGGCTTGGAGGGCTAGAGGACCGCTCCACCCCCAGCCCCGGCCTCTTCCTGGCTCAGGACCCACCCCATTCCCGGGGCTGGCGGTTGGCTCCACTGACAGCCCCTTGTTACCTGTGATCCCAGATTCCCCTGGGGCTCAGCAACGCAGTCTGCGTCCGGGTGGGGATGGCCCTGGGAGCCGCAGATACTGCCCAAGCTAAGCGGTCAGCCATCTCAGGCATGCTCTGCACAGGTGGGTAGAGTCCTCTGGGCGTGGGGGGAGGGTCTTGGAAAGTTAGAGCCGGGGGCAGGGGAGAAACCAGCCCGAAGGGGGGGCAGTGGGGGGGTCCGGAGCAGCCCCTGCTGCGTTGACACAGCCTTTGCACCCCTTACCTTAGTGTGATCTTGTGAAGTCTCTTCCTTCCCAGGCTTCTCCCTCCAGCTCTCCAGGGTCCTACTGCAAATTTGCCCTCGCATTATGTCCCCCGCCCCCGGAGCTTGGGGCCTGCGCATCCCCCATCCCCCCACCCTGGGATGAACCAAACTTGTGTCCTCCTCCGTGGCTCTGCTTTCTGAGGCTGCCCGATCCAGATCAGCTCAGCTGTGGAGAGCAGCGGTTCCCAGGCTTTAGGCTGCTTTAGAATCAGCCAGAGGGCTGTGTCAATACACAGACTCCTGGGCCTTCCCCCACAGAGTTTGCGATTCAGGAGGTCTGAGACGGGGGTCCGAGAACCTGCAATGTTACCAAGTTACCATGTCATGCTGGTGCTGCTGGTCCAGGAACCCCACTTTGCGAACCAGAGGAGGAAAAGCATTCCCTCCGTTGTCCTGCCTTGCACTGACCTCAGCTGGGCTCCTCCGAGGGTCGGGGTGGGGGGTGGGGGTGGGGGGGCAAATGCTCTTCCTTTTGTCTCTTCCAGTTGGTACCTCGCTGGTTGTGGGCATGCTGTTGAGCCTCCTGAAAAACAAACTGGGGCATATTTTTACTAATGATGAGTAGGTAATCAGTTCTCTTCACTGACCTCTGGGACGTGTCAGAGTGGCTGGCGGCTAGTCCTCGGCGGCTTGTCACACGGCTGGCTGGCTTGGCACTAGGTCCGGAGGAAGTGGGGACTAGCCCCGACTTTGCCCTCCCTGGGAGGAAGCTAGCTAGCAGATGTCTTTGCTGCTCTCCCCGGACCACGGCCTCCATCACTTGCTGGGACAGGATGCTGAGCGAAGGGCGGTAGGATACTGGGGGGCTCTTCTGGAGCTTAAAAGATCCACAGACATGCAGAAACTCAGGGCTAGGAATGTCAAGTCCGTGTGGGGCCACTACCTCTATTCCGACCCTTTATAGGAGGTGGTGGAACAGAGGGGAGGGAGATACATGAGTCTCAAGGACACGGTCATGCCTCAGATTTCCACATGAATGTTCTTCCCTGTCTCTCCTGCAGAGAAGTCATTGCCCTGGTGAACAAGGTCCTGCCGATTTATATCGTCTTTCAGCTCTTTGAGGCCGTCTGTGTGAGTACTGCCCTGGTGGGAAACCTGACCCCCCCCCCCGCCCCGTCCGAGTCCATGTTCATGGGCGCTCCCTGAGGCCTCCATGGGATTGTGAGGCTTAACTCATTAACACATGTAAAGGGCTAACTGTATATTGGAAGTGCCCAAAGTCTTCGCTCGGATTAATTCTATTATTACTCAAAACAATAATTCCCTTTCCCTTCTGCAATTCTGCAATTCGAACAAGCCAAAAGATGAATGCAGATTAGCAAAAAACGGAAAGATTGCATCAGTATAAACTCCCGCACCCTGTTACCCGAGCAAAGGGACCTGCGAGGGAGGGAGTCATCCCAGAGTACAGAGGGACCAGAGTTTTCTGAATCTCTGACCCCTACAAGACAGGTCCCATTTAGTGCAGATCTGAATGATGTGAATTTTAAAGAGCATCACATAAAAAGAAAAGAAAAGAAAAATTACTAATGGCTCCTTTTAGAAACAGAGTTTGGAACCCTGTGTCTTCTCCTTCACATCTTGAGGTCGGCAGGAATGCGTCCCTTGCCTAACAGGCAACAGCTCTGCCTGGGAGTGTGGGCTTTGAGAGCTCCACAGAGCACCTGCCCTCTGGGCTGGTCCTGCCCTGGGGAAAATCACCTGTACAATAACTATTCACCAGTATGAAAAAAAACTTTTTTTCTCAATGAAGGATTTTTCTAAAAGACAGTGCACTCTGTCCAGATTGCTACATATTCTAGAATTTACTTTCGACTCGAGCAGACATGCACGAAGCTTAGAGCACCTGCTCAGCCTTCCGCAGAACTGCCTCCTTTGGACTGGGCTTCGTGATGATATCCTAATGTTATCACAGAACATTAAAAGAAACCATCCTATGGAATCTATTATGGCTTTTGTCATAGGATGGGGTCAAGGACACTTTTTTTTTTTTTTTTTTTTTGCCACAGCTGAGAAATTCTTCTTGCAGTTAAGGGTTGGGAATAGGAATTCCTCGAGGAGTTAATTCACACATGAGTCTCCGTGTGGATGTCTGTTTTCATCACTCTTGGTAGAATCCCGCGCGTTCAGTTGTTGGAAGTGTATGTTTAACTTCCAAAGAAACTGCCAGACTCTTTTCCTCGGGGGCTGTACCATTTTACGTGCCCACTGGCGATCTATGAGGGTTCCAGTCTTTCTACTCCCTTGCTAATTCTTGGTATTGTCTTTTGAAACAAAAACTAGATTTTTGTTTCAAAACTTTTGTTTCAAAAAGTAGATTTTAAAGAGCAGTCTTAGGTTTACAGAAGGAAATAGAATTCCCATAAACCTCCTCCCTCAGTTTCCCTTATCATTTCACGTCTTATTAGTAGTTATTAATTATGTACGAGTGAGTGTGGCACACTTGTTGACCTGATGAGGGAATATTGATATGTTATTAACTAAAGTCCACAGTTCATTGTCGGGGGTCACTGGTGGTGTTGTAGAGTCTATGGGTTTTGACAAATATAGAAGGACACGGACCCACCATGATAGTATCATACGAATAATTTCACTGTCATAAAAATCCTTGTGCCTCCTATTCACTACCTCCCCCCCCATTCTCCCTACTGGCATTTTGAAAGGAATTGTGTTGAATCTACGGGGTCGTTTGGGGACAACTGACATCTTAACAATATTGGGGCCTCCAATCCACGGACACGGAGTGTCTCTCCAATTATTTAGACGTTCTTTATCCAACAACGTTTTGTTGTCTCTGGTGGACACACCCGGCACTATTTTTGTGAAATTTATCCCCAAGTATTTTGGAGGTTTTTTTGGGGGGGGTGCAGTTGTGAATGGAACTGGTGTCTTAATTTCATTTTTAGTTCATTGATGCTAGCCCCTGGAAATAGAACTGATCTTTGTTTATTGATCTTTTATCCTGTGACTGTTAATCTCATTCAAGTAGTTTTGTGTGTGGGGGGGTATTCCTTTAAGATGTTCATATAGGATCAGGTCATTTGTGAATCAAGAGTTTTACTTCCCCCTTTTCATGTGGCTAGAACTCGACTCCAGTATGATGTTGGATACACACGGAGCATAATCTATGCCTTGTTCCCAACGTTAGGGCAAGAGTGTTCAGTCTTTCAGCATGAAGTGTCATCTGTAGGATTTTTATAAATGCCCTTCATCAGGCTGAGGAAGAGCCCTTCTACTCGTCGTCTGGTAAAACGTTTTCTCGAGAACGGCGTTGGATTTTCTAGAATGCCTTTTTTGCGTCTGTTGAGATAATCAGGTGGCTTTTGTCCCTTATTCTATCAATACGAATCACATTAATTGATTTTCAAATGTCATACCTTGCATTCCTGTGATAAGGCCCTCCTGACCATGGTATAGATCTTGTTTATCTATTGCTGAATTTGGCTTGCTAACATTTTGCTCAAGATTTTGGTCTACATTCATGAAGGATATTCATCTGCTAACTTGTATCTTTGTGGTATCTTGATCTGCCTTTGGTGTCAGGGTAACACCGGCCTCACAGAATGATTCTGAAAATGTCCTCTCCTCCTAGGCTTTCTGAGTTTGGGAAGGATTGGCATTATATCTTCTTTAAACATTTAAGCTCATCTGGGCCTGAGCTTTGGTCAGAAAATTTTTTAATTAATTCCATTTATTTACTTGTTACAGGTCTCTGCACTTTCTATTTCTTGCTGAGGTCCTTTCAGTAATGTGTGTCTTTCTAGTCCTTTATTCATTTCAACTAAATTTGTCTAATTCTTTGGCACGAAGTTGCTCACCATATTTCCTTATCATCCTTCCCTCTGTGGTCCGTGGTTATGTCCCTTGTTTCATGCCTCATTTTGGTGATTCGTGTTTTCACTTTCTTATTTTCTTAGTCTTATTTTACCAAGGCCAACTCCTTGGCAAGTGTTTGGCAGTGTTGTGGATCTTCTCAAAGACCTAGAATTTGGGGTTTCATCGATTGTTGGTGGTTTTTCTGTTGTCTGTTTCAGTGATTTCCACTCTCATCATCATTATTTCCATTCTCCTGCATTATTTCGATACGGTTTGCCCTTACTCGTTTCTTAGGATGGAATATTAGGCTATTGATTTGAGTGAGGCCTTTCTGCTTTTTGGATCTAGGCATTTAAAGCTATACATTTCTAAGCACTGCGTTAGTGGCATCTAATACATTTGATATCCTGTTTTACTTTGCATTCAAAATATTTTACAATTTCTCCTGTTCTTTATTCTTTGACCCATAGGTTTAGAAGTGTTGTTAACTTCCAAAAAAAAAAAAAATAGAAGTGTGTTAATTTCCAATATTGGGCGTCTTCCCAGATTTCTTTTTGTCAGTGTCTCTAACTGAATTCTGTTGTATGCTCTGGCACAGACCCATCCCGGAGAATGTCTTGTGTGTGACCTTCCCCCAAGGCCTGTTGTTTTGTTTGGTAATTTGCCTGCACTGCTTCTGTGTGTGAATCCTGCCTCCTCTACAACCTCTAGGTGTTCTCACTCCTCAGTTTGGTTTTCTGGTTTTTTTTTTTTTCCCTCCCTTTAATTTTAGACTTAGCTTCCTGGAGTGGGGGGGCGGGGCGCACTGGCCCTTCTTGGTGTGCTGGTCACTGGAGACTGTCCCTGTCATTCAAAATGCTCTAAAGGGCTTCACAATCTTGGCACCGTAACATTTCAGGATGGACAGTTCCTTGTTAAGGGGGCTGCTAAAGGAGGTTGAGCAGCATCCCTGGTCTCAACCCACTAGGTACCAGTCGGCATCTCCCCAGACCATCTCCAGACATTGCCAAATGTCCCCTGGAGGACGAAATTGAGAAACACTTGTCCAGAGCGCATCAATCATCATTTGGGAGGAGTCTTTTTCTAACCAAAAAAATACCTTCTATGTCACCGATAGATACATGAGTAACCTACCCGCCACATTTCCAAGTTCAAGAGGCACACATCTCCCCTCCCGCACGCAGTGCCTCTTTGCTCAAAAGTGTGAAAGCAAACCACAAAATCCTCCACGTCCTTCATCTTTAGGAAAGAAAAAGAGCCAAGCGTCTCTGCATCAGCAGCGCTGATGAAACAGAACTGTGGCTGTAGTTCTTTCATTCACTAGGTCGGAGATCAGGTTGGGAGGATGAGCCTAGTAAAATCAAGCAGAGTTAGTATTTTCTCCAGTAGTTCTTGTCTGTGAGCATTACGGGGACAGCAGCGAGCTAGGGCTGCAGGTCTGGAACAGACAACACCTTTGCTCGCCCCGTGCGGAATCCAGAATCGGGGCCCCCAAAGATATCGATCCACATCCGAATCCCCAGACCTGTGGCTGTCAGGTGGCAGGAGGGGATTTTGCAGATGGGATTAAGTGAAGGATCTTGAGCTGGGGCAGATTTTCTTGGATTATCCAGAAGATCCGATATATAACCACTAAGGGTTCTCATAAGCAGGAGAGGGAGGCGGAGAGACAGAAGGAAGGCACCAAGCCAGCAGCAGAGGCTGGGCTGATATCACTGCTGTCTGAGGGCTGGGAGCCAAGGAATGCAGGGCAGCCAAAGAAACAGATTCTCCCCTCGGCCTCCAGAAGGAACCCGCCCTGCCTTTAGCGTAGCGATTTTCTAGATTTTCTAGAGAGGCGGTCATGATGCGGGAGTGATGAGGGGGGGCCCTGGAGTGGTGTCCAGAACACAGTGCTACTTTGGAGCAACTGTGGGCAAGTGACTTGCCCTGACTCGGTCTCCCCACGGAAGGGGACGAGAGCACGGTCCCGGGGCTGAGTGAGAGGAGGCCTCGTGACAGGAGTGGCCGTCGGTCTCACGCCCACCTCTCGCCCCTCTCTGCACCCCCCCGCAGTGCGTCTACGGCGGAGTCCTGAGAGGGACGGGCAAGCAGGCCTTCGGAGCCATTGTGAATGCAGTCATGTACTATGTTGTCGGCCTCCCTCTGGGCATCGTTCTGACCTTTGTAGTCAGAATGAGAATCATGGGTAAGTGTCACAAGGGGAAGCCGGAAGAGGCCTGGGGGCCCTCGGACACCCTGGCCCCACCGCTGCGTGTCCCCTGCAGGCCTCTGGCTGGGCATGCTGGCTTGTGGCCTCCTGGTCACTGCTGCCTTTGCGGTCTACACCGGCCGGATGGACTGGAAGCTCGCTGCAGAGGAGGTGAGCGAGAGGTGGGCCCTGGCCTGGCCAAGCGTGCAGGGTGACTGCTCCCCGGCAGCGCTCGGGGCACGTCAGGCCTCGGCAGCAGCGAACTGCGGGATAGGCTGGGGGGCACGGGGGGCACGGCCCCCCATCCGTTCCCCGCGCTATAGCGGGACCCCAGATGGCGCCAGTATACTCTCCAATTACGAGGAGGAGCACACACACCACAACCCTTCCTTAGCCAGCCCAAGCTGCTGGAAACCCAGACAAAAGCCAACAGCTCAAACAGGGCTGAACCCAGACACGTTCCCTGAGCGTGTGGCCCGAGCCAAAGGCGGACGTGTAACCGACTGAGCCACCCAGGCGCCCTCAGCCTACAGTGTGTTAAGGCAGGGTGCTGGTGAGGCCGGTGGTGAGCGGGAGGGCCGACTGGCTGACCCAGGCAAGCTGTCGCTCTTGTAGGCTCAGAAACATGCGGGGTTGCTGCCGCAGAGCCCCGACGGCACGGTGAGCGTGGTGACCGCGGGGACCGCGGGGACCTCGGCGACCTCGGCCCCACGCCCCGGGCCTGCGAAAGCTGTCACCTCTTCAGGTAATGCTGTCCTGGTGCTTCTGCTGGGCACACGCCATGCCGGGGGGGGGCGGGGGGGAGCACACTGCTCCTGGCGGCCTTGCGTCAGGGCCTGGGTCCAGTGGGAATCGTGCAAGCCACCGTTCCTCCTCTTGGCTCGGACGCACCGTCCTAAGTACCAGGAAGGCGACGTTACTACCTCTGATTTAACGGGCCCTGCCCCAAGTACTGCACATCCTTGACCTCGCGAGGTCGCGACTATGGTCCCATTCTCAGATGAGGAAGGCAGGCTGAGAGCTTAGGTCTCCTCCCCATGGTCCCGCTACTAGAAAAGGGGAGAAGATCCTTGCAGGGACCCGTTCTCCTCTCCGAAGGCCACGTCCTGCCCATGGGCGGGCAGCCCTGGTTGATATCCAGGGTGTCTGTGATGAAGTGATGGCCCAGGCGGGCGTGGAGTGCGGGGCGTGCGTGTGCACAGCCCAGAGGCCTCACTTACCTCCGTGAGCTCATCGCATCCCGGGCTCTGCCTTCAGTAGGGAGCTACGGACTAAGCTCGGGGAGCTCAGAGTGTCGTGAGAGACCACGGTAAGGTCCGACTAAGCATTTAACACGCTCTGAAGACACATGTGAACGTCCCACTCGCCAGGTCATCACAAGGACAGGCTCGGAGAGGAACCCCTGTAATGTCATCTTAGTGGTAGCTCTATGCATCGAACTCACATCGCGAGAGGTTTTCCCACATCATTTCCTCCTCTGATCCTGCTGCGGAGTAGATGAGACTCCTTCTCCTGTGCGGGCATTTTCTAGTGTAAGGCACAGAGGCGGATTCTTAACTGTCACCCCGCATAATACATGCAGCTGGGCTTCTTGATTCAAGGCCGAAGCTCTCCCCCAGCCCCCCGGCCCTGCTGAATTGGCTCCTGTTTGTCTCCGCAGTGGCCACGGGTAACTCCCCAGGCATCACCCTGACGACGTATTCAAGGCCCGAGTGCCACCTGGACCTCTTCAGGACCCCGGAAGCAACCCATGCCCTGTCGGCCCCGGCCAGCCCCCTGTCAGCAAAACAGCTGCTCATCCGCCGTGGGGCTGCTCTGGGGGTGGTGTCAGCCATGCTGATGGTGGGCCTGGTCATCAGGTTCCTGACCACCAGACACTAGCCACGCAGCTCGGAACCAGAAAGGGAGCCAAGAGTGGCTGCCCCCACCTGCCCACACCTGCCTACAACAGCACACGCGGGATCCAGGGAGGGGGGACACCTTGGTGCACACCTCCGAGAACGACCTGCAGCCGGCGCCTCGTGTGACCAGTGTCAAACTGGCTTTCTCCCCTCTGCTCTTTAAGAAGCCATCCGCCGACCGAAGAGACAGAGTCCTGGGACTGCTGCTAGGCAGGAGTCAGTGATGTACATGGCTTCAAATCGGGAGACTTCAAATCAAAGCACGATCACAAAACACACTGTCACCCAATTAAAAATTCCATTTTCTCCCAGGAGACTCTGGGGCCCGGGTCTGTTCACAAAGCCTTTGTGAAGTCCCTGCCCCACGCGCCCCTGTAGATCTGGGCGCCGTGAAACCCCGACGAGGCAGGTGGCCGTCCACAGACCCTCCTTTGCCTTTGCCTTTCCGCTAACCCTTCGTTCCGTCAGCATCATGCTGATCACAGACCTTGAGAAACACTGGTTCTTACAGCAGGGATGGGGTAGAAGCAAGGGCAGCCGAACCCAGATGGCCGGGCCACACAGCCTCAGGATGGAAGGCAATGCCGACCCAAATTCTCGGACGCTTCTCCTGAAGGCCTGGGACTGCTGAGCGTTTTCAGGCTCCGTGCCTCCAAAGTGGAGGGCGGTCTGGCCTCCCCTGCCACACACAGTCCCTTCGGCATCAGTAGCTATAAACGCCTCGCAAACAAGATGAATTTATTGATCAGAACCAATAGAAACAAAAGGAAGCACAGAACGTAATCCCGGTTTGAAAGAGTCAATGTGAATTCATGTCGAGGACCTGGTAACACTCCGGGCCTCCCACTCCCTGGAAGGCGGAGATCCTCCTTGCCTGGGACATACCTTAGTGAGCTGTTGGCAACCCAACAAAACGACTGGGAACCAAGCACAGAAAAGTAATGTTTCCCCAAATGTGTTCCAAGGTTACAAAGTCTTCAGAGCAAAGGGTTCCCTGGTCGAGTAAGTTTGGAAAACCACTCACGCCAGCCTGCAAACGTTCTATAGGCCTGGAGTCCTGAAATAGGCTGCCGTGCTTTACGAATCCCGGTGGACAGGGTGGGTGGTGGGATCGACTTTTGTGTAAAACCTCATGGGATTAATGTTCTGGGAAGAGGCTTACGGAAATGCTTGTTTTAGATTAGCAAATGGGGATAGGAGGATAGAGTTGGGAAAAACCTCTTTACTATACAGATATTTTAAAAAATAAAACCCCACGGGGGCGCCTAGGTGGCTCGGTCGGTTAAGCGTCTGACTCTTGATTTTGGCTCAGGCCATGATGTCAGGGTCGTGAGATCAAGCCTCGCGTCAGCGTTGTGCTCCACATGGAGTCTGCTGGAGAATCTTTCTTCCACTGTCTGCCCCCCCCCCCCCCCCCCCCCCCCCCCCTTAAAAACAAAAAAAAAAACCACCCACAAATGATAGTAAAGCCTGAGAAATTCTTGGCTAAGAATTTAGGTGAGAAAGCAGGACTTAAAGTGGATAAATACCACCTGTGATAGATAAAGGCAAAAAATGGATTTATAGGGCGCCTGGGTGGCTCAGATGGTTAAGCGTCTGCCTTCGGCTCAGGTCATGATCCCAGGGTCCTGGGATCGAGTCCCACATCGGGCTCCCTGCTCCTTGGGAGCCTGCTTCTCCCTCTGCCTCTCTGTCTCTCATGAATAAATAAATAAAATCTTAAAAAAAAAAATGGATTTATAGTTGGGGGAAAACTTACGGCCAAAGAACTGTCTTCGAGACAACAGGGCATGAGGGGTTCCACGCCAAGAATGTCATTCTTAAACTTCATGCCAGTTTTAGCAAATATAATGTATTTATTTTGAAGCAGGATACACGAATAGACAAGCCAGTAATTTAGTTGAACTAGAAATTAGAACGTACAATATGCTAAATGAAAATTCCACATGGAAATTCTGTCTAAGATACTTTATGACCGATTATCCTGATGGACTAGCCTAGTGATGAAGTCTTGACACCTCATCCTGGGATGAAGATCACACACTCAGCCTTCCTGGGAAGAGATTCACGCAACCAAGCTGACTACACATTCTCTTGTTGCGCAGAGGCGGGGAGGGTCACCTGCAGCCAAGAGTCACCACGGCAGGGCAGGGAGGCTGCACTCCACTGGGTTCTGTCCCACTGGGTCTCAGGTCTCGGCCGTGCTCAGGAGAGATCCCCTTCCTATGCCCTCCATCGCCTTCAACAAGGCCGCCTGCTGTGGCTTACAGAGTCCTTCTCCTCCAAACGATCCACCATCAGCCCCCTGAGGCTCTCCAGCTCCAAAGTTCTGAATATCCGAGGCCTCTTGGTCACAACAGGCAATGGCTTTCCGCGTTGGGTCCTGAAGGCTGCACTTATTCAGAAAAGGAGCTCTCTAAAGTGTAGCAAAGTGAAATTTATGTGCATTGCGCTACAGACATAAGAAACTTAAAGATCTGTCCTGGAAGATCCATTCACTTGAAACTTTAAGATCCTGAGAGAGAGTAAGTATTGTTATAAGTCATTTTATTGCAGCATAAAAACACGCCCGTTAGGTTTTATGAGATGCGGAATCCTACAACTCCTACACAGGAAGAATGACCGAGGATACTTGCGTGAAATTGGCAACTTGTCTTCCCAGACGCCCTGGGCGGACAAGATGATTTGCGTGGTATTAATTGCAGAAGGCATTTCTGGACAGCCACAAGAGACTGTCCCAAACCAAACACGAGAGAGGGTGGAGAATGGCTGAGAAAGGAGGAAGCCCACTGGTCCGACGGTACATCTGACAGGAGGGTTGACTCCTGAAAGTCAAGTCCTGTGTCCCAGTGGATGAGGGACAGGGACCCCCCCCCCCCGCCAACCCCATGTACAATTCTAGTGCCTCAAACCTCAAGCAGAGCTGGAAAGGTCTAGCCTCACCTCTCTGGATGCAGATGGTTTCGGATAACCCTGGGCAGGGAGGGGCCCCTGACAGACGGCTTCACAGCAAGATGGTGGAAGGCAGCAGGGGTGGGGGCGGGGTGTCCTGTGTCCCACGAACTGGAGTGAAGAAGTCACTCAACAGGTTCGGAGACTCCTCTACATCTCCCAAGGAGTCCAGGTTTAGCCTATCCTATGCTCCTCCCTTAGACTCAAGCTCTAAGGTCTGGGTGACACCATGTAAAATGGGTTCTCCGAGTCCCCCCCACTGTGGGGGGGAAGGCTGGGGTTTGGCTGAGATGGCAAGTTTTATCCCTGGGGAGTGGCAATGACTTTGAGAGTTGATTATGGTGCATTTGCATATTTCCCTATTTTGGGTAGGATTTTTAAAACGACTGGTTCATTAGCTATTTAATAGAGGAATAATTCAGTAGCGGCAACCAGGAGATTGAACAGGATCTTTCTTCAGCAGTATCCAGCCTAGAGAGAGAACAAAGGGATCCAGGTTACTCTGCTGGTGTAAGACCCGACCCGACCAGCCCCGGAATAGGAACTCCGTACCGGGACTCAACCAAATGCCTCCTATTTTCAGAGACGCAAAATGCGCCGTATAACAAAAAGGTCCCTGTCTCTCTAAGAAGTTAAGTGCAGTTTGGGCTGAGGATGAAAGACTGTGCTCTCCCGTGCAAAGCAACCGTAGCAAGACAGGGAGTGGTGATGAGGTGGTGTTCGGTCTCGTGTCAATGAGACATCAGCGTTTGAGCCAGGAATGGAAAATGTTCATTTACTATCCTCCAGTTGTGAGTGGGAGGCTGAACTCTTGACATGAAATCTGAAAACTCAGAGTTCTAATGGCATACTCAATTCTCGAAGGCCTTGTGACATCTCTCAATTGTAACCCTTTATCTTTCTCAGCTTTTTAAAACCTGCCCCACCTACCATGCTTTCTGTGGCTCATATTACACTTTGCTAGAACTTTACCTTGCGTGGATGTGTATACACAGGTACACACAGATGTTTTTTTAAATGCATATAGAAAATTCCTCTCCACTCTGTGATTCTGACATGCTCCCTTTAAAGTGATCATCGCTGCTTTCAATTTCCCGTTTAGAAATGTTCCAAGCCCGTTCTCGTTCTAGTGAAGTGAATTAATGAAATCGCAACCCAGCACATAAAATAACTACTAAGTGCAGAAAAGCCATTTCAGAAAAATGATTGCAGTCCCAATAAAGACTCCTCAAATAAAGGCACAACATGGGCTCAGAGTCACTTCTTTAAAATAATAGGTGGGAAAGATACAAATGTAGGGACCCGAAGGGGTACATGTACCCCAATGTTTATAGCAGCAATGTCCACAATAGCCAAAATGTGGAAAGAGCCAAGATGCCCATCGACAGATGAATGGATAAAGAAGTTGTGGTATATATACACAATGGAATATTATGCAGCCATCAAAAGGAATGAGATCTTGCCATTTGCAACGACGTGGATGGAACTGGAGGGTGTTATGCTGAGTGAAATAAGTCAATCAGAGAAAGACATGTATCACATGACCTCACTGATATGAGGAATTCTTAATCTCAGGAAACAAACTGAGTGTTACTGGAGTGGTTGGGGGTGGGAAGGATGGGGTGGCTGGGTGATAGACATTGGGGAGGGTATGTGCTACGGTGAGCGCTGTGAATTGTGCAAGACTGTTGAATCACAGATCTGTACTTCTGAAACAAATAACGCAACATATTTTAAGAAAAAAGGGAAAGAAGAAGATAACAGGAGAGGAAGAAAAGGGGAGTATGTCAGAGGGGGAGACGAACCATGAGAGATGATGGACTCTGAAAAACTGAGGGTTCTAGAGGGTAGGGGGGTGGGGGGATGGGTTAGCCTGGTGATGGGTATTGAGGAGGGCACGTTTTGCATGGTGCACTGGGTGTTATGAACAAACAATGAATCATGGAACACTGCATCAAAAACTAATGATGTAATATATGGTGATTAACATAACAATAAAAAAATTAAAAAAAAAATAAAATAAAATAATAGGTGGGGGCGCCTGGGTGGCTCAGATGGTTAAACGTCTGCCTTCAGCTCAGGTCATGATCCCAGGGTCCTGGGATCGAGTCCCGCATCGGGCTCCCTGCTCCTTGGGAGCCTGCTTCTCCCTCTGCCTCTCTCTCTCTCTCTCTCTCTCTCATGAATAAATAAATAAAATCTTTAAAAAATAATAATAAAATAAAATAAAAGGTGATCTGGGCACCTGGGTGGCTCAGTTGGTTGGGCAACTGCTCAGGTCATGATCCCGGGGCCCCAGGATCAAGTTCTGCATTGGGCTCCCTGCTCACCAGGGAGTCTGCTTCTCCCTCTGATCCTCGCCCCTCTAGTGCTCGCTCTCTCAAATAAATAAATAAAATCTTAAAAAAATAAAATGTGATTTGCTAGAAAGAAGACAAGCTCAGAGATGAGCAGAGAGGCAGCAAAGAGGAAAAGAAAACCAAATCCTCGCTGGTCTCACACGGAATCCAAAAAGGTCCAAACCACTAACACATCCGCTCATAGTGAGAACCGAGGTTTCCCCACTGAGAGACCGCGGCTGGCGGCCCCTATTCCATGGATGAGCAGGCCAAGGCCAAAGGGCGGGCTCAGAAAAGGCCTTGCTCAGAGTCGGAATTGGCTTGATCTCGGAGCCAGGGATCAAAGCCACATTTTCCTGTTTCCAAGCTACGTGTTTTTATACACTGCTGCTTCTCTAGCCGTTCACAGGGGAAGGCTTGTCTGCCAAACCCTTTGGGGAGCTCTGGGCAGGCTACCTGGCCAGCCCCAGCCTGTCTGACCCGGCACGCTGCCCCTGTGGGGAGCACCACAGCCTGGAGCTCTGAATTTCCCACGATACTAAGAGGTTCCACCACCAGCAGGAAGGTGCCTCTCAGCTGGGGACTGTTGTCTGGGGACAAGAGAAGACAGGCAGATACCGACCCGAGATGCAGGCACACCTCAGACCTCGGGGAGATGCAGAGGGAGGAGTTGAAAGCCTCTAAATTACACACGGTGTTTTGATTCACTCCATCTGCCACCACCAATTCTAAAGTCAAACTTCTTTTTATTTTTATTTTTTTTTAAGATTTTATTTATTTATTTGAGAGAGAGAGAATGAGAGATAGCACGAGAGGGAAGAGGGTCAGAGGGAGAAGCAGACTCCCCGCTGAGCAGGGAGCCCGACATGGGACTCGATCCCGGGACTCCAGGGTCATGACCTGAGCCGAAGGCAGTCGCTCAACCAACTGAGCCACCCAGGCGCCCCTCAAACTTCTTTTTAAACACCCAAACAACTCCAAACAAAACAAAAGAGTGACTAAGAGATTTTTTTTTAAAAGATGAGTCTCGGGGCGCCTGGGTGGCTCAGATGGTTAAGCGTCTGCCTTCGGCTCAGGTCATGATCCCAGGGTCCTGGGATCGAGCCCCGCATCGGGCTCCCTGCTCGGCAGGGAGCCTGCTTCTCCCTCTCCCTCTGCCTGCCACTCTGCTTGTGCTGTCTCTGTATCTCTGTGTCACAAATGAATAAAACCTTCAAAAAATAATAAATAAATAAATAAAAAAGATGAGTCTCCAATTATAAAGCAAAGGGTTCACTCGGTACGTGTACCTATAGAGCTGAGTGGGTCAGCTGGTGCGACCTCCAGGGGAGCTGAGCAGACGGGGAGGAGGCAGGAAGAGCACCCGTGACTCTCCTTTTTCTAGAAATGATGTGGGCTTCATCTAGACCCAGCTGGGCCATTACCTCCACACATTTTTTTTTTTTTTTAAGATCCCAGCGAGCCACCCTCACCCTTTTGAAAGCATGGATAAGTTAGGTTTTAGCACTCTGATACCCTGGGCCAAGCTCCAAAATAAATGTCTGGAGATTTTTTTCTGATAAGCCTCCAGCTATGGGAAAACGAACCACTAAGAGAGAACCCGAGAGCCCCGACTCGGCCCACTTTACACGGGGATAGAAAACAAGCAGTTCCTACCTCACTCTTAACGGAGCTGGGTCGTGGAATCGGCTGTCCGTCACGGCTTACTGGACAACACGGTCTAAAATGCCAGAAAAAGCAACAGGCCTTTCTGAGGCCTTTCTCCTCAGCACAGCTTGGTATTTCTGAGAAAACCCAAATGATTTCAAATGCAACTGGTCTCTCCAGTTCCACCAAAGCTATGTGATACCGGCAGACGAGCCAACCCCCTTGCAAACTGTAACTGAAGTGCAGACATGAACGCCACAGATACAAATCCAGTAAACGCTAGAATCCGACCTCTCTTCCGAGAGGGCGCTGTCACTATACTCAAGTACATCGCCTCGGCTGGTCAGTCAAGCACCCCAAGAACACAGTGGCCTGGCCCCCACACCCGTCTTCATTTCCGTAGTCTTGGATCTTCTCCATCACCCCCAGGGACACACAGACTGCCCTGGGAAGGCAGGTATCGTGGGCCACTCAGGGAGCCTACGTCTGCAGGAACTCATCACCAAAGACAGAATTTACAGGGCAGTCAACTGTGGCAGAACATTCACGCTTCCCTTGCCAGAGTCGCTCCAGCACACAACTCTCGCCCTCGAGTGCCCTGCACGCGGATGCCGGGGACACTGGAGAAGCACACCGGAACGGAGACACCCAATACCATGAGGATCAGACCACTGGACAGCTCGGAACTCCGCAAGCGAGTTCTGCAGGGTTTTAACCTTTGGATTTTGTTTTGTTTTGTTTTGTTTCAGATTTAGCCCATGAGGGGCTCGATCCCACGGATCCCATGACCCTGAGACCGTGGCCTGAGCCACCCAGGCGCCCCGGGGGTCTTAAAACTCTTACACCAGAGGACGGCACACTTCTTCTGTGATCATTTAGGCTCTGGGGGCCGCGCGACCACTGTGGCAAATACGCAACTCTTGCCACGCTAAGTCAGCAGGGCACTTTGTCTGTCCCCCAGGAAGTCGGGGCTGGCTGCGTTCACCGACCCTGCCCTAGACTCGGGAAGTTAACATGAGAAACAGAGTTCATCTCTAACGGTACAGGAGCTCCCACGACACAAGAGGACCATCTGACAGCCCTTCGAGCGGGACCAGAAAGGAACTCACCTTGGCCAGCACGGCCACCACCAAGCCCAGGAAAGCCAGTAACAGCAGAGCGAGTTTTCCTTTGTTGAAGCGCTTCAGGAGGAAAAATTTTGCCCAATCCACCTTTGACTGGCTGTTGGGAGGATACCTGAGCTTGTTAGCACCTTCCCTCTTTAAACTTTTTAGTAGACAGGAACGTTGATGTGAGAAGGTATCGAAACTGTATTTGCCGTGATAGGCTCCCATGCCGCTAGAACCTGGAACAGAGAGAACAGACAACACTGACTCCAGTGTAGGTGACACAAGCTACCTGTCTGTGTGAACCCCGACAGAGGAAACCCCCAGCACTCCCTGCCGCCCCCATCTCACTTCTCAGTGCAAGGGGCTCTTTCAGGAAATTCCTGAAATTTCCTGAAATTTCCAGCTTGCGTTCACCAGCAAGCTGATCTCCTGAAATTTCCTGAAATTTCCAGCTTGCGTTCACCAGCAAGCTGATCTCCCTGCCAAACAGGGCGCTCTCCAAGGGTCCAGCGAGGACTTGTGGCTCTCCGGGCCAGCGGCTCTCACCGGGACCAAGGTCCCTGCTCTGCGTTCTCTAAATCCATCCTCCCCACAACCCCCCTGTATAAAGGCATCAGTGCTCCCGATCCCAGAGAGGGTGAGGGAGCTTGGCAGGGTCAGGCAACCTGCCCAAGGTGGAAAATGCAAAGCCAGAATGTGAATCCAGGTCGGCTGGACTCTTAACTACCATGTGCTCTTTTCCTGCTGTTCCATGTGGCTTTATCCATAGCCCTCTTCACCCACTTGCTTCCTCTAAGCTCCTAGAGAGCAACAACAGAGTCAGGATGACAGGGTTACCCCACTGGGTGATAGTAAGCCAGTGGAAGTCCCTGCCCTCTTAAAAAGCCATGCTCCAGGACAGTCTTCTTTGTTATGGGTACTGGGGAGATACGCCGCACAGATGAATGGGGCCAGGAAGGCACTTACTGGTGCTTTACGGGGCTGCTGGTACATCATTCAGGGACAACTGAAGCTATGGGGAAATCTGGCAATATGCATCAAAAGATAAGCATTTTTAAGGAAAAATCGAAACTATATGTCAACGCATTAACAGTGTTTATGCCTGGGAGAGTATTACATTTCGTCCTTACAGGTGTCTCCAGTGTTCTGTTGTTGCTCTTTTGCCCAAAAAACCTCTTGTCACTTTTAGAAACAGGAGACAAAAAGCATTTCACTTTTAAAAAAAATAGCTCTAAGCCTTTTTAAGACAGCAATGACACTCTGAGACATTCTTCCTATGGAAAAAATCAGAAATTGCACAAAACCGCTTTAGAGTCCTAATACCGAAAAATCTGGAATCATAAAAACCTAATGCCAGGAATTAAACGCAAACAGGCCCCATCCGTAGGACAGAGCAGTATGCGGTTACTGAAATCATGACACACGACCATGCTGACGTGGGAAAATATCACACTATCCTCTCACATACACGGTGAAAAACAATCTACAATAGGATACAATTTTGAACAAAATTTTATGTATTTGTATGTAAAGAAAAGAATTTTAAGGACGTATACCAGAGCCTGGACTCCTGCATTTAGCGGGGGGAGGATTTTGTTACAAACAGGAGGGTGCTAAAGGCTATCTAGTCAAGCAAAATAGGGACTGAACACAAGTCGCTCGACTTGCACTCAGGAGGTACCAGGGACGACACGTGAAGCAGTGAGAGTCTTTGGTAGGAGCCAGGATCCTGGGGGGCACTGAGCTATAGGAGACTGGAGTCTCACCGAATCCTTCAGGAATCCGAGCAGTGAGGAGCAGTAGCCCCAGCCGGTAAGCTCTCGTTGCTTTCGTCCACCGCCCCTCCCTCCACAACACGCGCAATCCATCAGCTTGACCCCCCAAAACATCCAGCCCCTTTCCACCAGCTCCCCTGCAACCATGCGAGTCCAAGCCCCCACTAGCTCCAGGCTGGGCCCCCGACTGGCCTCTCACTACACGCCCCTCATGTGGGCCAGGCACGGTGCTGGGTGCTGGCCATCCCCTTACGTCCTAGGAGGCGACACGGGGCATGCTGGGAAGCAGGCCGTGTTCTCTGGGCCTCGGGGTGAGCCGGCCCGGATCAGAAACAGGTAGTCCTGTGAAAATGAGCCATTTCATTCCCATGGACTCATCATGCGATCACAGAGAGAGACAACAGAGCAGGAGCTTTTAAGACAGGGGTTTTTATTGCCTTTTACTCTAAGAATTGCTCCACGTTCGTTATTTGCGATACTTTTTTTTTTTAAGATTATTTGTTTATTTATTTGAGAGACAGAGAATGAGCGATAGAGAGCGCGAGAGGGAAGAGGGTCAGAGGGAGAAGCAGGCTCCCCGCCGAGCAGGGAGCCCGATGCGGGACTCGATCCCGGGACTCCAGGATCATGACCCGGGCCGAAGGCAGTCGCTCAACCAACTGAGCCACCCAGGCGCCCCGCTACCTCACTTTGAAAAAGACAGAGGGACCTTATCTATGAATCTGAGACCTGGCTTTTGGCCCCCCCCCCAAAAGTCCCCTTCTTCTAAGAGAAGAATAATAACCAAGTTAATAACCAATAAAAAGTAAACCAATGAAAGGAACAAAGCCAATTACAGGCTGTGCTGGGGGCTACTAAAGACGGGAGGGGGTGACAAGACAGAGTCAGCCCTCGGCCGGAGGGCCTGGCAGGGTGGCGGGAAGGCACCTCCCAACGGGGTGGCCAGATGATCTGAGCCACCGTGCGACTTTTGTAACCGGTGCCACGCGCGGCACACAGGAGTACTCACCCACTCCTCCGAAGGGCAACGAGCTGAGGGTGAAGTGCATGATAACGTCGTTGGCGGTGACGCCGCCGCTGGACGTGCCGTCGATCATCCGTCGGACAAGCTGAGGAAGGGAACACGGGCTCTGGGTGAGTGACGCCCGTGGCGCAGGGAGGGGACGCACATGGACACGCACGGAGCCACATGCGTCAACACTTCACAGCGCCGTTGCACTTGGCAAACGTGATCGTGTCTACGTGCTCTGACCCGTGTCTGGTCCTTCAAGGGGCGCAGCACGGAACTGTCTGTTCTACCGCTGCGCACCCGAGATGGCCACAGCAGCCTCTGTCCGCGAGGGACAGTGCAGACTACATTCTGGTTTTCACCCATCGCTACCGTTTCTCTGCCTCTCCCCTAAATGACGGCGCAGGATCGACAGATACCCTTTAGTGTGTAGGACCTGCCAAGAACATTTAAGCTTTCAGACTTGGTATTCTATTTGTTTTGAAGAAACGGCTGGCCGAAGACCGGAACGGGCACGAGGACACCTGACCGGTAAATGTCATTTCACCTCGCTGCCCACAAGCTCTCGGGAGTTCGAGTCATGAGCGTCAGAGTGGACTGTGGTCACTGAAGGTGACCCCGTTGCTGGGCAGCGCGCCCCCACGGACTTGCACCCTGCCCAGGAGACTTCGGGCTTCCAGGTTCTCGTCCGCATCGCCTGTGGTCGTTTAAACTGTCTGACCACAGTTAATAACCCATTATTGACGGAGACCCACGCGTTCGGTGTCACTTCACAAAGCCGTACCTCCACAGCACGGCAGGCTCTAGAAGCTGTGCGTCACCATGGGAGGCTCTCCGCAAAACCTCTGGTGTGTGAACTCCTCAGACCTTGACGGGTCCCGCCTCCCTCTGGGTCTCCCATTTCTCCAGAGGGCTCCTGAGCCCACTTGCCCACCTCGAGGCCACTGTCCCTCAGAAACAGCCGGTCCCCTCACGAGCCGTGCAGCAGGGTGGGGGGGGCCCGCTCACCCTGGTGTAATTATGGCGTCACACACTCACCTGGCTGGTATGGCCCCATTCGCTCTAACGACAAAGGAGCTAGAGAAAGCGAAGTGTGCAATTGCAGAACCACGTTCATGACCGTGCCACAGACCTCAGTCCCACGCAGCCCACCTGAGCACTGCAAATGCCACCGGGGTAAGAGGGAAGGCTCTCACACAGGAACGCCCTGGGGCTTAACGCCACAGAAGCTTCTAAGGCTGGTATGGAAGCCTTCCAATTATAGGGGAGATGTTTGCTGGTGCAAAAGTTCGTGACACAACCCTGAAGACTCAGGTCTGACCCCAGGGAGTATGGTAGGGGTGACAGCCGTAACTCCAGGGTCTGATTACCCAAGACAGCCATCTGTGAGCAGCGCCTCACTTGGTGGACTCTGTGACTCGACAAAACAGAACATCGTTTGCTTTGTGGCCAAGGAGGAACATGGTCTGTGATAGTGGCTCGTGCCGGGGAGTCATCCTCTGGAGCGTTTACCTTATTGTTGTGAGAAAAGATGTAGAAAGCTAGCGGCTTTTCACGGCTGTTTATGAATTTTATGGCTTCGTCGGCATTCTTCACGGACACGATGGGAAGAACTGGCCCGAAAATTTCTTCTTGCATCACCTTGGCTTCAGGATCGACGTCAGTAAGGATTGTTGGGGCTGAAAAACGAAGCAGCGAGGTGAAATCGTGAAGTCGAAGACAGGAATGCCAAGCTCTCACTGATCCATTCCCTTGCCACTCTTGCCCAAGTATTAGCTAGTGACAAAAATAAAAATAAAGTCCTGAGTCTGGACATGGAGGAACCGTGCACTTCTGTCTCCAAGCTTGTGCATCAGGGGATCCCCATGCAAACCGAGGGAAAGATACAGACACTTGAGAATATTCCTATCTAACCCTGTTCACAGCCATATTCGCACGGACCAGGCGGTTATGTTTCCGTTTTGCTGTGCACAGGTCCCTCTGGGGGAGCAGACAGCCCCTTTGTGGATCAAGTTAGCACTACTTCTTAACTCACATGCTTTCATGCGTAGGATCTCGTTGCCCTTTATTTCAACTGTTAGACGAGTTAAGAACGGACTTCAAGGGTCAAGAGTCCCTGAGTTCAGGGGCACCTGGGTGGCTCAGTCATTAAACATCTGCCTTCGGCTCAGGTCATGGTCCCAGGGTCCTGGGATCGAGCCCCACATCGGGCTCCCTGCTCCGCGGGAAGCCTGCTTCTCCCTCTCCCACTCCCCCTGCTTGTGCTCTCTCTCTGTCTGTCAAATAAATAAATAAAAAATCTTTAAAAAAAAAAAAAAGAGTCCCTGAGTTCAGAGTTCCAGCCACTATGGGGAAGGCGCACGAGAAAGGAGGACATCATGGATGCTGACAAAAGCTTTGCAGAGCGTCCAGGCGTCCGTGCCAGGCCAGGCACCAAATAGGAACACTCCGCAAGACCCCGTAAAGAAGCCAGGTCTTCAACTAAAACAGAAGACACCTGCCAATAACAAGGCTGCTCTCTTCCTTTCCCCCGCGTTTCCTACTGGGTCATCCTGGCAACGTGGCAGAAGACAGCTCTCGCCAGCACCCCAAAGGGTGCTGTCTCTGCTGTCACCCCATAGCCGCCACCTGCTGCTTCCCAGGCTCAGAGAACTGTTCCATGTGGGTGTCTACTCCCCACGGAGCCGTGCGCTCAGGTAAGCTAACCTGGACTCCAGGTCAGGGGGAGGTGCCTAACTGGTTGAGCTAATTGCAACAGACCTTTCCTCTTGCTGCCGATGAGCCGAGTGGGTAAAGTCAATGGCTGATGGGAAAACAGAAGGATGAAAAATTGGGGGTTTGGAGGCCATTACTGATGAGAGAGAATACATTCTTCCTCACTGTTTGAAGTCCTTTATGGTTTTAGGTTTTTTGAAGCCGGGTTTTTTGGGAATGTGCAGCATCCCATCTGATAAGAGGGGCTAAGTAAAGTCATTCGGGGCAGCTCTTCTGCCAAATAAATGTGTCTGTTATTCCTCTGTCACTTTATGTTATTTTAGAACAACGTGTTCGGGGCGCCTGGGTGGCTCAGTCAGTTAAGCATCTGCCTTCGGCTCAGGTCAAGATCCCTGGGTCCTGGGATCGGGCCCCACATCGGGCTCCCTGCTCAGCGGGAAGCCTGCTTCTCCCTAGCCCTTCCCCCTGGCTCGTGCTTTCTTCTCTCTCTCAAATAAATAAATAAAATCTTAAAAAAAAAGAAATAGAGAACAATGTGTTCAACATGCAACAGGAATACATATTCATGGCAAAGAATAAAAGAACACAAAAAGAAAGTAAACAAATAATGTCAAGCCTCATAGATCAAAACATTATTTCCGGGCCGCGTGGGTGGCGGAGTCAGTTAAGTGTCCAACTCTTGGCTTCGGCTCGGGTGGTGACCTCAGAGTCATGAGAGAGAGCTCCAACAGGCTCTATGCCCAGGGCAGAGTCTGCTTAAGATTCTCCCTCCCTCTCCCTCTCCCCCTCCTGCCCCATCTCCCTCTCTGTAAATAAATAAATAAATAAATAAATAAATAAATAAATAAATCCTTTAAAAATAATAAAACAAGAAAACATTATTTCTGGAACAGTACTGCCACTCGCTACTTGTGGCAGAATGATTTCCTCCTTGGGCTGTCCCTCCAGCCAGAAACCAGAAAGAATTACACAAGAGTTCTGTTTCGCTTCTCAGGGTGGTAGGCTGTAGGAAGGAAAAAAAACAAACAAAAAAACGTACGTGTAAAGGCAAAAAGCCAGTGTGACACAGGTGCTGTTATTTATAAAGACATAAAACCATCTCTGAGTGGTTTATAAGGCCGCACACCAGAAAACAACGTGTCATCGCTTATTAAACGTTATGTATCTAAGAGTTTATTCAGAGACAATAAACAGAGTCAATGAAAACTGTCCCGCGGCCCGTGTCCCCAGAGCAAGAGGTGAATCTCCATTACCTATGTAGCGCGTCGCCTCGTCGGTCTCCCCACCGAAAGCGATCTTTTGTCCTTCAAGCAAATTTAGTATCCTCTTAAAATGATGAAGGTTGATGATCCGCTCATAATCAGGAGATTCTTTTATATTTTCGCCATAAAATTCCTATTTAAAACAGTAGTATTTAATTGCCACAAGTGTCTTTAGTAAGCGCAAAACCCACTCGCGCCCAAAAAGCCATCTGGTTGTAGATCAGCGCCCTTCTCCCTCACGTCGTCTAACAGTGTTTATGCTTTCTTGCAGGCTGTGGACGAGAATTAAAGCAGGTGCACACACCAGAGGACTCTCTGTGATGTCCGGGGTTCGTATGGATCTCCTGCAGACTGGTCGGGGGCCATCCTGGCGGTGAACACTCTCAATTCACTCTCAAGTCAAGAGGAGCGTTGCTCACTACCCCCATAGGCGACGCCCTCAGGCCTAGGTGCCAAGAATCACGCAGGCAGCTTGGTGATGGGCCCCAACTTCCCGGGCCCCAACTCCGGAGCCACCAACAGTGGTTTTCAAGGCTACTTGCCCCTTAGAATCACAGAAGGTGAGGACTGGAAGCTTCCATACGCAGTTCCCTGGTAGAACCTCAGTTGAGAACTGCTGTCTTAAGGACAGAAATGCCTCAAAAGAAGGCAGAGGGGATCCTATTTCTTTGAAACCAAGTTCATCCCCCTTTTCAACTAGGCACGTCTTCTCCAATCTCCAGGGGTTTTCCCTCTCACAGGTACCCCGAAGCCCTGCCATCCCGCATTCCTTGGGTCTGGCCAATACCCTTCCACCCAGGGGGCTTAATGACCCCCTCCCACCGGTGAGCTCAGTCACACTGGTTCACCCCCCTCTTTCTTCCCAATCCTACATTTCTTCGAGGTTTAGCTCAGGCCACTACCACAGCATTTCTCGATTCCTTCTAGAGAGATCTTTACTTGGAACACCCTGAAAGACTGATAACCAGACCGAGAGTATAGGATCCGTACTTCCTCGGTTAACTCACTCCTCTAAACTACTGGCCTTCCTGAGCCCTCTGCACACGCAAGAACCGATAACCTGAATCAGCAATGGCCAACAGGCCAAAGGGCCTCTGACTGCACTTCACAGGACTGGCAACATCCTCTAAAAAAAACCATGAAACATAGCTATTTCATTTTTTTTTTCAGAGCCTGTGCCATAACTCACCAGTTGTTTCAACACATCAACTAGACAGTTGAAGTGGGTTAAACACCAACCTATCTTGCTCCTAACAGACATTCTGTGAAAGGTGCCCAGAGCATTCTGAATAAGCCCATAAATTAATTCAGCCACATGTGCTCCTGGAATTCTCCTGGCGGGGGTGGGGGGAGCAGGGGGAGGAAGGAACAGGGATTCTGCCTGCACAGCTGATTAGATGCATAGCGTAACGAAACCAATGGACTCAAATGCGTTAAGCACAAACCTTCAGGGTTTCCTTAATCTTCTGCACAATTTGATTCTGGAGGGACGGTTCACAGAGAACGTAGTCAGGAGCAATGCAGGTTTGGCCACAATTCATGTACTTCCCCCAAGTTATACGCCTGAGGGGGGAAAAACCAGAAAAGTCATAGAATTCACTCTACTATTCATCTGCTACACCTTTTTCTGTTGTTTGACTATTTTGCAACTAGCATGTATTCAGAGATTTACTTAGTAGTCTTTGTAGTTATTTTTTTTTTTAAAGATTTTATTTTTTTATTTGAGAGAGAGAGAGAGAGAGCAGGAGGAGGGGCAGAGTGAGAAGGACAAGCAGACTCTGTGCTGAGCGCAGACCCCGTGCGGGGCTCGATCCCATGACCCTGAGATCATGACCTAGGCTGAAATCAAGAGTCGGGTGCTTAACTGACCGTGCCACCCAGGCGCCCCCGTAGTCTTTATAAAGAACAAAAATGTTTTAAAAACTCATCTCTTCATCAGTTGGTTGCGACTCAGGGTGCAATTTCCCACTGACACAGTATACTCTAAGGTGCAGGGACATTCTCATGCCAGCTCGCGGAAAACAGTACTTTATAAAGCAACGAAGCCACTGCCTGTTTTGAGAAAAACAGCAGACTCCCCACACCCATTTCTCCTCCCACTCTAGCCAAGGGGACTTCCAGATGTCAGGAGTTCCATCCAGACTTCAATTCTCCCGGTTGTGGCTCTAGGTCCTGCTGGCAAGAGGTTCAGCTAAACAGCAGGAAAGCAGCCAGCCCCCAAGACCACCCTCTTCTCGGGGGAGCCCCTCCCTACTCTGGAAAGCCACGCCCACACATGGATCAAAGCCTGCTTCCTGAACCTTCCCTGAAGGCCTCATGCTCTGGCAACCAGACAACCTGGACACAGCCTACCTGCCTACAAGCCCTCTTTGTGCATCTCTGGAAGGGGAACGAGAAGCCAGACCACCTCGATAAGCACAGAGCCAGTCCCGGGTTTTGGCATTTCCGGGGAGCTAAATAAACCTGATCTAACAGAGAGAGAATCTGAAACCTTTTGTTTTCTGGCTCCCAGGTGCACGATGTTATTCGGACTGAAAACATGAGTAATAACTGATTTTTGTGAACAAAGGAGCTCGTTAAGAGGTGAGCATAATACCTTTCTGTTGGGAATCTAAAGATTTTATTACGTACACGCGATCTTTTACCTACTGCCCAGATCACCTACCAGCAGAAGAGTGAAATTTCTTGCTACGTCTGTAACCTTAAGATAGCACTTTTCTGTAACTCCTAAAGACAACCACGCAATGTCAAGACCCACTGCTCGTTTCTTCTGGCAGAGGCAGCAAGAGACGGTTTGGGAAAGAGTTCCACTGCCCCTGGGGACATCAACCACCCAAGCGTCCCGATGTCTCTTCGAGCCCGGAGGCCCAGGACCCCGGTGCCAAGAGGACACACCAACCTGTCGGTGTCGGGAAGCCCTCAGATATAAGTAGGCTCACCTGCAGGCAACGTCCAGGTCACAATCCGTGTCGACATAACATGGGCTCTTCCCACCCAGCTCCAGCGTCACGGGGGTCAGATGCTTGGCGGCGGCTTCCATGACAATCTTCCCGACCGCCATGCTCCCCGTATAGAGAATGTGGTCAAACCGCTGCTTCAGGAGCTCCGTGGTCTCTTTGACGCCACCGTTAATAACAGCGTACAAGTCCTTCAGGAAGGAGAAACAGAAGCACTGACGTCACCACATTAATCCCACCATCTACCGAGCACTTTCTTCGACGTAAACCTGAAGCATTCAGGAACAGCGGGGGGAAAGAGGGGCAGCAGCCCCGAGGAGGAGGCAGGAGGGCGCTGACGGGGGACACGTGCGGAACAGAGTCTGCGGGCGTCTGAGACCCCTCCGCCTGCAGTTTCCACACCGAGCTCGGCAGTGAGGACACCCAAGAGAAGAGATCGAACGGCTGGATGGACTCGACCAGGGAGATGCACGAGATGGGGGCCGGGCGAGTGGGAGATTTTGGTGAAGAATTTGCGGTCAGGGAGCAGGGGACAGGTCCCAGCTCCAGCTGAGTGTCTCCGGCTGAACGTCCTCGCCCTCCGCAACTGCGCGGGGCTCAGCCCGGGCCAGGAATGAGCAGAACTCGAGGCAATGCAGGGGAGAGCCCTCGCTCTAGAAGTCAGATCTGGACTCAGTCTGGGCTCCGTCACTCACTAGCAGCCCTGCTGCCCATCTGTGAGCCTCAGGTTCCTTACGTGGGACTGGGGAGAGGTCCCAGCGCTCCAGACGGAGCCCTCAGGTGCCCTGTGCTCTTGCTCACGAACGGCTAGAATGGAAGAGCGCCTAGTGCAGCAGCAGCTGAGGAGCAAGGACAGGAAACAGAGAGCAAGACCGGACACAGAGACAGCTATTCTAGAGACTCGGAGAGCACGACATAAAAGCGGCCTGGGGGGGGCCTCATGCTCCCACTCGATCCCCTACTAATTAGGAGGCCTCATTAGCTCTCGCTCACCCCATTGTTCAATTGTCCAACAAACGCTTCGAGTTTTAACCTGCCTGTGGGTTAATCCGTGGGAACGTCTGTGACTGGTCCCCCAACAACCTCAGAGAGGCAGGGTGCGCCTTTCTATCCCCACGGAGTGAGACCAAGAAGAATTTATGGGGTGAGGGGCAAAGCTGGACCTTCAACCTCCATCTTCTGGTTCCAAATCCTGCTCCACCCATGACCTCTCCCTGCCTTCATCACCCTCTTGAGCCGGATAACCACAGCTGTTAGGACAACGTAGTTCCGTGGGAGTGACAGTGACTGACAGGACAGCAAGGAGAGCCCATGGTCAGCCTCCAGACTGTTCCAGTAACATGTACAACTCCAGCTGTGACTCGATCCTAAATCCTAAATTAGGACTCCTCCCTACAGCAATTTCATGCAGACAGCCATCATGACACGCACCAGTAGGAAGATCAGATGTGTGTCCCCCGACCCCCAATAGAAATAGACACACCGAGGATGGGTCAAGACATTATTACCTGGTCCAAATACTGTGGGAGGAGTTCGGTCAAGATCTTTGCCGTTTTTTCACTTAGTTCAGAAGGCTTGATAATGACAGCATTTCCTAAACAAAGCAAAAAAAGCAGGACAGCGTCTTTTGATACTTGAGTAACTTTTAAAACCTACCAAAACGGTGTTCATGGTGGGAATACAGGCTAGGTACTCCTATTACTTCTGCAGCTGTGAATTCTGCTCTTCCTCAACGAGCGTTAAGAGCTTGTCTTTTTTTTTTTTTAAAGATTTTATTTATTTGAGAGAGAGAGAGCTCCTGCACATGAGTGGGGGAGGGGCAGAGGGAGAGGGAGAAGCAGGCTCCCCGCTGAGCAGGGAGCCCAACGCGGGGCTCAATCCCAGGACCCCGAGATCATGACCTGAGCCAAAGGCAGAAGCTTCACCGACTGAGCCACCCAGGCGCCCCAAGAGCTTGTCTTACTTCCTCAGATTCGAACTCCTTGGTTTTCATTAGCTGACAAGAGGCTCCATTATCCTCCCCTACTCCTATAGCTTTACTCCGACTCTCACCGCTGGACTTTCCTGTTTGCCTTGGAATTACTGGGCAAACAAGCCTTGTCAACATAAAGTTGTAGACTGGGATGTGGCAGAAGTGAGAAATTAATCTTCCGGTGTCTGCCATATACCCAAGCTAGTGTTACTCCCACAGCCCACAGCTGGATGAAGAATCTGATCAGATACGATTGACTGGTTCACCCAACGCCAGAGTCAGCAACTAAAACCACCCGAGAACATGGATGGCTGACTCCAAACTCCTGGACCCATCAACGCCTGACTTTATAGACCCTCACAGGTTCATTCTCCGGGTATTTCAAAAAACAGTCACCATTTGCAAACAAATCTCTGGAGCCCACTTTAAAAATGATAAAATAAAGGGGTGCCTGGCTGGCTCAGTCAACAGAGCGTGTGCTTCCTGATCTCAGGATTATGAGTTTGAACCCCACACTGGGTGTAGAGATTACTTTAAAAGCAAATAACATTAAAAAAAAAAATCCCTTTCTACGTCACAGCTCCTCCCAGCCCAGAGACACCTAATGATAATCCATCCCAAAACAACCTTTGGCCGGTTCCACCCCGCAGAACCTGCCTGCTCACCTATCTTGACAGTGTACTTTTGCTTTAATAAACTGCTTTGCGCTTACTGGGGGAAAAAAAAAAATATATATATATATATATGAACGATAATACTTTTGCATCCTCGGTACACTGCTGGTGTAAAGCAAGGCAAACCACAACAGCAAATGACCCCAGACCTGCAGCAATGGCTCCGATCAGAGGTTGAATGGTGAGAACAAAGGGGTAGTTCCAAGCTCCAATAATCAGTACAACTCCCAGGGGCTCCGGCTGAACATAGGCCTCATCCAGCATGGTGAGCAGGTTCTTCTGAGCCGGTTTAGCAGTAACCCATTCAGGAAGATTCTCCAGCACGAGATCAAGTTCGCCAAGAATGGTAATGACTTCCTGACTGTATGCGTTGAGTTCACTCTGTTACAAAGAGAGTCGCGGTTAACCTTGCACAAGCCTTGCACAAGTCTGACACACTCAGCCCTGAATGCCAAAAATCAGGTCAGGTGCACCTGCAGTGACATGTATGACACTAAGCTGGTTTGCTGTGCAGACTCCTTTCACATCCTTCGTGCCCTCAGCAAGGCCTTGCGAACTTGGCTCTAATATAGTTAACCCCTCTAAATCCTTCTTTACTGATCCAAGCCCTTTATTTTTTTATAAAGATTTTTATTTATTTACTCGTCGGAGAGAGAGCGTGCGCACAAGCATGGGGTGGGGTGGGGGAGGCAGGCTCCCCACCCAGCAAGGAGCCCGATGCGGGACTTGATCCCAGGACGCTGGGATTATGACCTGAGCTGAAGGCAGATGCTTAACCGACTGAGCCACCCAGGTATCCCAGATCCAAGCCTTTTAGAGTCAGGATTAAACATTACTTCTTTCAGGAAGATTTCTCTGATCAATATTAACCCATCTTGATCACACTTCATAAATCATAGCAATTCTGCCTCTGATGTGTATGTTAATGTCTCACCTTTACACACCGATTTGTAACTGTAGTCACACTGTATCCGAGTATGTTTTGTTTCCCAAATTCAAATCCCACAAGGGATTACTGTTTTTCTTAAGTAATCATATATGTGTACACACACTCACACAACCATCTGTTTATAGAATGACAGATTCATCCTTTTTGAAATCTTAATTATGTCACCTTGTTTATTTGATATCACAGTCTCTCTCTACCAAAATTACTAGAAAGGAAAGTTGAGAGTTACCGTTGTTACTATTACTACTGGTGTTACTACCCCTCAAAATAATCTTTGGGGGAAGTGAGGGAGACTCACAGAACCAGAGTAGGGCCTTGTTACCCCTGGAATAAAGATAAAATGTAAAAACAAAGTGATAACAAAATAGAGAGTAGGGGCGCCTGGGTGGCTCAGTTGTTAAGCGTCTGCCTTCGGCTCGGGTCATGATTCCAGGGTCCTGGGATCGAGTCCGACATCGGGCTCCCTGCTCGGTGGGAAGCCTGCTTCTCCTTCTCCCGCTCCCCCTGCTTGTGTTCCCTCTCTCACTGTCTCTGTCAAATAAATAAAATCTTTAAAAAAAAAAGAGAGAGTAATATACTTACACCCTAAATATTACCCCACACCTTGCTACTCAAAAAGTGGTTCCAGGTGTTTTTGGGAAGATGGTGAAGGAGGATCCTGAGCTCACCTCCTCCCACGGACTCTCCAAGGGTCCAACTGCATAGAGAGTAACTCTTCTCTGAGAACGACCTAAAGACCCACAGAACACCTCTTCCACAGCTAAAGACAGAAAGAAAAAGCTACATGGAGAAGGCCGGGGCGGGGGTGGGGAGCAGAGACATGGTCTAGTCCAAACGTACACCCCCGGCACAGGGACCCACAGCCAGGAGTGGTATCATAGGCGTGGCGATCCTCCCTGAAGAGGGAGGAGTTCAAGCCCCACATCAGGTGTCCCCACCCTCGGGACCTGCACCGAGGAGCCTCTGTAACTCTGGCTTTGAAAATCGGCAGGCCCCGATGGGGACAGGGTTAGTGAAGAACTGGAGGGCTACAAGAAACCAAGATGCTGCTCTTAAGCTGTCTGCACACAAACCCACTCAGCATAGAGGTAGCAGTTTGAAAAGCACCTGGGCCATATGTGAAGATTTATTGACTAATTTTAGGGTGTGTGCCATATTAAAAACAGAAATACCACACCATCCCACAATTCCACTTCTGAGTATTTATCCAAAGAAAACGAAAACATTAATTAAGGGGCGCCTGGCTGGCTCAGTCGGTGGAGCACGCGGATTCTTGCTCCTGGGGGTATGAGCTCAAGCCCCACACTGGGTGTAGAGATTACCCTAAAAAATAAAATCTTAGAAAAAAAAATACACTAATGCAAAAAGACTTATGCATCCCTACGTTCACTGCAGCATTATTGACAACAGCCAAGATACGGAAGCAACCTAAGTGTCTGACAGATGAACAGATAAAGAAAATGTGGTATATACACACGTATATAGACACACACACACACACACACACACACACACACACACACACACGTATATAATGGAATACTACTCAGCCCTGAAAAAGCAAGCAATCTTGCCATTGGTGACAATATGGGTGGACCCAGAGAGGGGGAAATAAGTGAAAAAAGCCATATTGCACACTTACGTTGTACACCTGAAACTAATATAATAGTGTATATCAACTATACCTCAACTTTAAAAAAATGAAATAATTTTTTAAAAAGCCTGGTTTCAAAACAGGCAAGATGGTATCACCTGGGAGCTTGTTAGAAAACTTCGAATCTCAGATGCCCTCCAAGACCTACTGAACTATAACTTGCATTTTAACAAGATCCCCAGGTGATTCACCAAGGCACTCGAAGTTTGAGGAGCACTCGCCTAAAACACACAGTCAGGGAGGAAAATTTCAAGGCAGCAACGACAACCCAAAAACCTCCGTCAACAAAAGAAAACCATAAACCAAAAGGCAAGAAACAGACCTGGAGAAAAACATTTTGCGATCTATTAAGCTGACAAATTACCGAAATCCGCAACATGCAAAGAATTCTCAGAAATAATAACGGAAAGGACCGCAAATGCAACACAAAAACAAGCAAGGATATAAAAGGCAATTCACAAAAGAGAACAGAGGCCAGAAGACACTTTCGTCTTTCTCTCCCTGTTGTCTGCAATCAGAGGCACGAAGCCGCATCAGCGTTTCGGGAAAGTCAAGGGAAACTTGCTTTATCAGTACGGCTGGAGATAACACTCCCACAGTGCTTACGTAATCAAAAATAAATTTTAAAAAAAAATGCGAAAGCTCGGGCGGAATTAGGTCCCCAAGTGGGGCGGCGGCAGGCGGGTGTCCCGGCGCCGGCCGCCGCGCGCGTACCTTGCACAGGTCGGCGGCGAGGGCCTCCAGGATGTCCTTCTCGCGCTCCTGCACCATCCTGCGCAGGGCCTCGAGCTGCTGCAGCCGAAACTTCACGGGGCGCGACCGGCCGGACGCGAACGCCTCGCGAACCCGCTGGATTTGGCTCTCCATGGCCTGGTCCTGCCGAGAAGGGGGAGGTCGGGGAGCGCCGCGGCGGCGAGGGCGTGGCGGGCCGGCGGGATGGCCCCGCGGGCGGGCGCCGCCTCCCTCCCCGCTGCTCCCCCCGTCCCGCCCGGCGACCCCTCGGCACGGACCCGGAGCCGCACCTCTCTCTCTCACCCGCCGGCTCGCTCGCTCCGCCGCGTCCTCTGCAACTGCCCGGGTCCTGCAGTCCAACCGCCGCCGCCCGGCGGGGCTGGGCTCCACCCGCAGCCGCGCGCCGATTGGCCGGCGCGGGTCACGTGACCTCGGCGGGCCGGCCACCGCTCCCGGGACCTGGCCGCCGGGTGCGCCCGGCAGGGGACGGGTGCGCGCGGCGGGAGAGGGCTGCGGCGGCCGCGTGCGCGGAGCTGGCGCCGAGGTTTCCGACCGGGGACGGGGAGCGGCGGGCGAGCGGCCGAGCGCTGGAGAGAAGCGGACGCGGGGCAGGAAGCGCGCCGACCGCCGGCGGAGCGCGGCCCTCGCGAGGGGATTCCCTTCCCTCCTCCATTTTGGGGCTCTCGGAGGCGGCCCAGCGGACCGAGGCGGGAGGCCCGGCGCCGCCCGAAGCCTGGGGCACCGTGGGCCGGGCCTCGCCGCGTCCGTGGGCAGTGAGCGCCATCGCCCCGCGCGGCCGTGCGGCCCTGGGCCTTCGAGACCGCCGCCCGCCGCCGCGTCTCCTGCCCGCGCTCGTCGCTGCTCTGACTGCGTGCAGCGTGCACGGTTTTCCAGAAAGCCCTCCGAGGTTAATCTCCCGAGGGCAGGAAGCCGGGACCTCATCCAGGGCCGTGCTGGCCGAGTGCGGATGTTCAAAACGCTCTCCCCGGGCTGCCTCTCACCCCGCCAGCAACCTTCCCGTTTTTCTGTTCCCCTTTGCAGCAGAACTCCTCCAGAGAGGGCACCCACGCCGCTCGCATTTGCCTCCCGCTTGCTGTGTGCCAAATGCAACGAGGTCATCCGCAGATCCCGCGGCGGTTGGCCCCACTCATCAGTTGGCATCTTCTGGAGCCCCCGTCTTGGCTTGTTTTCCACCCCTCTGCACGCTTCTGGTTTTCTTTTTACCTCCCCGGCGGAGCCCTCTGCGATCTCCTTTTTGGACCAGCCTTTGGACCACTTCTCTTTTCACGGCCCAGGACTTACTCCTCTAATCCCGTGGGTAGTGGTCAGAGACGGCTTTAAACTCAGTCTCTAGTCCCACCCTTTTCTCCAGAACCCCAAGGACCGTGTTTAACTCCATCCCGTTCATCTCTATTTGAATGTATTAATGGGCATCTGAAGTTCACTTTAGGTAGAACTTTTTCTTTACCCTCATCGACCAAATACAAGGCACACCTCCTCCAGTGTTCCCTACTTCAATAAATGGTATGTCCTTTATCCCGTTTACCCGGGCCAAAGTCCTTGAAATCATCCCTGACACTTCTCTTTGGCCCTATGTTCAAAAAATATGTTGAATTCCAACCACATGAACCCTAGTCCGAGCCAAATCATTTCACTTGCAGGGTCTATGGCACTAGGATCCCACTGCTTCCCCTGCTTCTACTCTTGGATTCTGTGGCGGTTACATATAGGTCATTTCTCATTTCTATACTTGCCCTTGTATACTACTGTACCGTGGGGGCCCAGAGTGTATAGACTACTTTCCCCAGGTTCTCATCCCGGAGCTTCTGCCATTGGGAGGCGTAAGCAGGAAATAAGGTAGGAGGTGGAGAGTAACCGGCTTGCTTCTGGATTCAATAGTGCAATAGTTGCTGGCCACTTCTCCAGTGAAAGGGGAGGTAGGATCATTCCCGACTCCAGCAGCAGTTACATCCTCGGTCCAGGCAACACTTCTGTAGTAAATAGAGGATGACGGGGGACAGGCACCAGACCTGATGCAGCTCCCGTGCGTTTCGCCAAGGGTATTTTTAGCAGCCTCTAATCTTTGATACCACTCCATTCTTCCATTTGATTTGTGACTCCTAAAATGCTGCCTGAAATAACTAGAGTGGTTTCTCTTTCCCGGGCTGGACCCTGACTGACACATCTCGCTACAACCTTTTCTCCAGCTAGCTGTCATGGGTCCTTGTTTATGACCGTCTTCCCCACTCGAATGTCTTATAAAGGCAGGGACTTTGTCTTGCATGTTCACTGTAATATTAGCATCTAGTGTAGAACGTGGCCATTGGTTGGTATTCAATAAAGATTTATTGAAAGAATGAATGAATGATACACTGCTGAGTAGTCTCAGTGTCTTGGCACTGTCCACATTTGCGGCTTTCTCAATAGCGTGTAAAAATTGAGGCTTATTTAGAATCTTAGGGAAGGAAGAAGTTGTCATGACCATCAAATTCTACTTCTCCCTTGCCTTTTTTTGGCAAATAGAAAGGGGCGGGGAGCCAGTTCACGGGCGCCTGGGTGGCTCGGTTGGTTAAGCGACTGCCTTCGGCTCAGGTCATGATCCTGGAGTCCCTGGATCGAGTCCCGAATTGAGTCCCACATCGAGTCCTGCATCGGGCTCCCTGCTCGGCGGGGAGTCTGCTTCTCCCTTTGACCCTAACCCGTCTCATGGGCTCTCTCTCATTCTCTCTCTCTCTCAAATAAATAAATAAAATCTTTAAAAAAAAAAAAAGCCAGTCCACATGAAGATATCATGGTTAAAGGGGAGGATGCAGGCTTCTACATTCAGGAAAAGCTATAATCTCTAACACACACCAAGTCTTTAAACCAACTCCGTAACTAGCAGGGATGCCTGTGAATAACAGACCAGCCATCTAATGTTAATATTTAGAATTGTGGAGCAATGTTTGAATTACCCCAGAGTTCACCACAGAGTATACCCAGTTATCTTTTTAATCTGATCTGCGTGGCCATTTTTTAACTCATTACGTAAATCATTATGTAAAGGACCAGATAAATCAAAATGCAAATCTTGCCACAATTTTAAAAAAATGTAAATGAACATAATTCCAAAGTGAAAATAGAATGGGAATCAGTATCCTCTAAGGCTAGTTAATCTCTAAGCGGCTGAGAGCTGCTTCTGCTGAGGATAAGGTGTGAGAGTTTCTTGAAAAGAATCTTCTAATGGCACAGTCACCAAGAGTTTGACCCTTTACCGATTCTTAAACATTTTCTTTATTAGTTGGAGAAATCAATGGCATTTTGTTGGGCACAGTTTAAAATCACATCCAGGGGCGCCTGGGTGGCTCAGTTGTTAAGCGTCTGCCTTCGTCTCAGGTCATGATCCCAGGGTCCTGGGATCGAGCCCCGCCTCGGGCTCCCTGCTCCGCGGGAAGCCTGCTTCTCCCTCTCCCACTGCCCCAGCTTGTGTTCCCTCTCTCGCTGTGTCTCTGTGTCAAATAAATAAATAAAATCTTTAAAAAAATAAAATAAAATAAAATCACATCCAAATACTTTCACAGAATAAGGTGATATATGTATGGAAGCAGTGAGAGACTGGGGATTCTTTGACCACATTCCCAAGTTGAAACATTCTCCCTTTCAGCCTTTGAATATGATAAACTCATTGATTCAAGTAGCTGTGGGCCAATGAAATCACCCCTGCAAGATCCAGGACGAGGAAGTGAGGGCTTACAAGCCATTTCTTCCAGGAGATGTAGCAGACTGGTGATTTTAGTATGCCTGCCCACCATACTCTTCCTACCTCCCTCTCTCTGTTGTAAAAGAAAGTTTGTTTATCAAGGATAATCTACTCCATGACCCCTCTTCCTCACCTCAGGGTTTCCATATGACCCATGCCCGTCTGGTGAGAGTATCAGATCTTCCTAGCCACAGTGATTGAGTCAGGAATATCCAGGGGACCCAGGGACTTTTGTTAGAACTATCATGAAAGAGACATGCTTTTCTTTCTTTTGTTTTTTTATTTAAGGACTCTCTACACCCAACGTGGGGTTCGAACTCACAACCCTGAGATCAAGGGTCACATGCTCTACCAGCTGAGCCAGCCAGACGCCACCCCCCCACACACCCGCCAACCCAACCAACCACCCCCCGGGGACATGGTTTTCCTTATGGGATCACTAGCTAATTTGCTGGCGCTCTGAGAGAGATGACTTGCTGAGAAGAAAACTAATACAGAGGAAGGCAGAGCTCAGAGACAGTGTCTTAATAAGATTAGTTGTATCTGGTAAGGCTTGAAGCTAAAGGTACATCTGTGAAGTACATCTCCAGTTTCCTAAGCCAATAAATTTCCAAATGTTAGGGACCCGAAATTTGAATTGAATCTTTGCCACTTGCTACCAAAAGAGACTTTATTATAGAGAGACTTGCTACACTTCACTTAAGTCTGTTGTCCATGCCCTTTGATTAATTCCACTATGTGATAAAAGGAGTAAAAAGATCTTAAAAGTGTGAAAATATATGTAAGCAATCAGTACACTCCTTGCAGGGGAGCATTAGGTATGAGCAAGTCATCCAACTTCGTAGGAATCCAAATTAGGGCCGGAAGGAAGAGAGAAGTCCTGGGCATACACTCACAACCTTAGCCCCTCTCAGGTTGAGAGAATTAAGGGTGTGTATTCTACCTTTGCCTTTAAGAAGACTCTTCCTGCTGACAATTGAGATCAAATGTCTAAACTTTGCATATAGGCTACAATTGTTTTAAATAATAAACATTACATTTTTTATTTGCTGTGACACAAATATAAAATAGTGTGTGAATTAGAAATGTATACAATGAAGGGACGCTGGGTGGCTCCATCAGTTAAGCGTCTGCCTTCTGCTCAGGCCATGATCCCAGGATCCGGGGATCGAGCCCCACGTCAGGCTCCCTGCTCAGCAGATAGTCTACTTCTCCCTCTGCCCCTCACCCTGCTCTCATGTTCTCTCTCACTCTCTCAAATAAATAAAACCTTTTTTTAAAAAAAAGACATGTATACAATGAATTCTTACAGAGTCAACCCACCTATGTGTCTACCACCCAGAACATTACCAGCATGCCAGTTATGCCCCTACCCAAACTCTGCTACAGAACTTCTGGGTGAAAGCAAATAATGTCTAACATGTTTAACTTTCAAATAATTTTCCAACATACTTACACCAATTTATATTCCCCATTGATAATATATGACAGTCTTGTAGCTTTACAGCCTCTCTGTGCCTCATAATGTCGGTTTTGAAAAATGATCTCTCCTGGTGGGTGTGTGGTCTTACGTCATTATGATATTACCTTATATAACATTTCTTGTTAAATGTATCTCTGGAT